TAAAAATTAAAAAAAAATTTTTATTTATCTTTAATTGTCACTGAAATTTAGTATCTTGTATATAGTTGTTTTTAGTAGACAATTCTGCATGTAGCAGACTATATCTTTTTCAATATTAATTTAGAAATTTATATTGATAGAACACTTTTAATTTTATTAAGTATTATATAAGTATTATATATCTCGAAATTATTTGATTCCTATATTATATAATACTGTATATCATTCTCCTAATACTGTTTATAATGAAATCTTTTGTTTCAGAGTATTGTTTTCAGACTGATAAAACTTTAACTGGTTTGGAAGCATTTGTGTTTAATTACGATGTAAAATGGCCGGTTTCACTCATTCTGAACAGGAAAGCAATAGCTTGCTATCAAATGCTGTTCAGACATTTATTTTATTGCAAATACATCGAAAGACGTTTATGCAGGTTATTATAAGATTTAATAGTTCAAAATCTTTATCCAATTTTTTTATAAATTAAGGATGCTGTAAATAGTATTAAAATATTTAATGTTTTTTTCATTCCTTTTTAGAGTATGGGTAAGCAATAAAATTGCAAAAACTTTTACTCACAATGTAGCAATGTCATATAGACAAGCATTTTCTTTAAGACAACGAATGCTTGATTGCATTCAACATTTAGCTTATTACATGATGGTTGAAGTTATAGAACCAAATTGGCTTACATTTATAAGTAAAATGAGCAAGGTATGATGCTGTCTTATAGTACTTAAGCATCTATTTTTAAAGTAACATATCTTATATCATGAGGCTTATTATAAGTGGTAAAGCTAAAATTATCATTCAAAGAACAAAAACATTTCTTACCTACTGTTTAGTAGTTACTGTTTAAAACAGGTACAATAAAAAATCAAATTATTTAGTACAATTGTTATATCAATCTAATTTTTGAACTCTAATTCATAAATATATGAAAATTAACTTTATTTATTTATATTGTGAATTTTATAAAATAAAATGTTTAACTTAAATGCATAGGTCAGTAATGTGGATGATGTTCTAAGTGTACATCAAGATCTGCAAGATAGTTACTTGAAGGAATGCATGTTAACAGATTCTGATCTTCTTGGTTGTATAACAGGCATTTGTGCTGCTTGTATTGAGTTTTGTAATTTTATGGAGGTAAGTGTTATAATCTTCACATACCAATGTATGAATGTATAAAGGTAATCTTAAATTACTATGTAATTATATTTATGATACATGCATATGCATAAAATATAAGAAAGCAGTTTGTCTGAGTTGCATTCTTTGCTTTGATTCAGATTCTTTCGAATATCTTTGTTCTTCATCAATATCTACAAAATTCTTTATAAAATTATAATATACAAATAAATAGTAATGCTAACTATATAACAGTATTGTATTTAATATTATTGAAAACTCATATAATTTTATACTTGCACTGTACATACAAGATAAATAATATAATACCTAATATTATCATTCATATTATTTTTGTTGTTATAGACTAATTAAAATTTCTCTTATTGCAAATGATATAGTTCAAAAGAACTATTAAGGTAATAACAGTAAATATTTTATGTATCTTTTTTCTTTCAAAGATTTCAATTGTATGATATTGAATTATATTTTTCATATTTCTTTAAATTATTAATTAACAGATATGGAGACAAATTTAACAAGTTTAGTCGAAAGTAATCTTTATTATCTAGAAAATAATATGGTTAAAAAGAATGTTTATGACAAAAAATAATTTTATTCGATATTTACGAAAATTAGTGATATGATACATTATTCAGTTTGTACAAAATCATTTTTGTCCTCAGTACTTTTCCTTACAATATTATTTTTTAGGTGGCAAAGATATTTTTATTAATTTGATTGAATTTGTCTTAATATCTTTCAATTAGTAAAAAATGGTAAAGAACAAAATAGTGTATAAAAATTAAAAATTTATTAAAAGATATATAAAGAAAGTCTAGTGTTATTACTTTAAAGGTGTTCCTAAATTATATCTATGATACAAAGTTTTAATTAGTCTATTAAGAACACACATAATATAGCTAATCATATTACATAATTTGTCTTATGTAATATGAATTAAAATTATTGCTACAGTGATAAATTTAAAATTGTCAGAAACACAAAATGGATTTGCATGATGTGTTTACAATTAACATATTATTGTTGACATTTAAGAGTTATAGCTTAATATGTTCCATATCAAGTGTATTAACAAACATAAAACTAAAGAAAAAAAAATGTAGTAGTAAACTAAATTTTAATATTTTACTAATGTTAAGCGTATGAGCCCATACTACATTGACGCCGAATTGACGTCCATGATTGGTGCCTATCAGGAAGAGGTCTATGATTCTGAGGTATATCCCCAAAATTATAACTTTGCCTCCATGCATTTGTGTAGCAATAGTATCATGAAGCTTTTCTTTTTTAGTCAATAAAAATCGTCCTATAGATCATTTTTATATGATACTTAAGATTTAAATTCGCATGATTTATAGATACGATAAATGAAATTTAAATTTACTCAGACTCAATTTTTTAATTCGGATAGTAATGAAATGAAATCATTAGATATGAATTTTTCGTTCCTATTTAAAATTTCCCAAGTAATATAAAGGAATGATTACATTTGATTTCTAGTAGATTGATTGTTAAATTTAATATTTTTTTTATTGTTATTATTAATAACATTTATATTGTCATAGTAATATTTTTATACATTTTTTAATAAATATTATTGACAAAAATTAAATATGTTTTATTGGTTCTTGAATACATATTTTATTAAAATAGAAATTATATGTGTGAAATATTAATACACATGTATATCATAGACTCATTTTATGAAACTTTATGAAATGACAAAGAAATTAGAAAATTTACATATGCTAAAGTATTATATATATATAATGAAGCTATGATTAGACATTTCATAAATTTCATTATATGTCCATATTATTAATATATATTTTTATATATGTATAATATCTTTTATTTTAGTTAAATGTTAGTACATGAATATATGACAACATATTCCATACAACAAACAGTAGATTTTAGTTCACTAATAATATTAAATGCAAATTTTGTATTATATATGAATATTTTATACGAATATTACATATATGAATGTTATATATGAATATTACATATATGAATATTATATATGAATATTACATATATGAATATTATGTATGAATATTATTGAATCATAAATTATATATAATAACTTTATAATATGTGATTAAATGCATATTGTATGTATAATTTGAAAATAAATAAATTATTTTTTATATTTATTTAGAAATCCATCCTTTATGAGATGCATGCAGTTCAAATATTGTAGCTTTCAATAGTGTTGTTAATATAAATAATTATTTGATTAATTTTATTTAATTAAATAATTTTTTCTTCTAATACAAATAACATGTCTAATTACTTTATCCAATTGTTGAAAGTCATGAAAATGTAAGCATGATATTTTATATTCTGAATTAGAACTTTTTATTATAAACTTGTATTTACAGTGAAACAATATTATTTTTATTTTCAGCTACAGGTATATTAAATTTAAATAATATGGTGCATTTGCTTTACAAAATTTGGTGTAATTGTATATTTTATTAATCTCTTTCAGATATCATTACACATATATTATATTCATTTTTTGCAATATATGCTTCTTAATCTTAGTTTTATGAAGGGTTCCATATATTCATTTAAATGGAATATAAAGTATGTTCCTATTATTTATTAGGGTGAAGATGGAGATGTATCTAAAGAGCATGCAGCCAGTTTTGAAGAAACTATTATATCACTGGATGAAAAATTTACTCAAGTATTAATTCGTCTTTTAGACAGAATATGTGATCTAGGTTGTGATAATAACAATGAAAAACTTCTTAATGTTTTTTGTAGGTAAGTTTGATTGTAGAATTTCCAAATATTTATCATACAAACTGTTTCATAAAATGTAGTACTAACAAGTAAAGCATGAGTCTTTGTTAAATACATCAGAAATAAGGAATAAAATATTATTGAATAAAATTTTATTTTTAAAAATTTGTCTTTTAAATTTCGGTTTGAAAATATTAACTTTATTGGCTATTTTTCTTTCGTTATATTTATCATTTTATGCGTGTTAGATAAAAATATGAATCAAAAATTTTTTCTTTTTAGCTCTTTTATTTTCTCATCCTATAAAATAGTAATTGATATATTTTCTTCTTTTTAATTAAATTATACTAATTAATTAGTACTGCATCTTATGGAATATTTTGTATATTTTCTGCATGAATTAAAAATTTTAATTTCCAGTATCGTTATATTTTATTACTTTTTAATTAGGCTAGATTTCAATTTATTTTATACCGATATTTTGATACGACGTGGAAGAGAGAAAACAGTGCAGGATGTTTCCGGTTAGTTATTGAATACTCATATTCGGTAGAAGATTCGGTAATCATAGATATATTTATAGTTTTTGATTATATTACATCGTAAAATGAAATGTTTTGCATATTTATATACAGTATGAAGACAATCTGAACAATTTACGGTCAGATAATATTATCGTTATACCTGTTCCATGTAATGTCTACATTTCAAATTGCTGTTGTATTAAAATACTCACTATAGATAAACAAATTTCAGCTTAGACACATATTGAATATTTTATTTAAATTATTTAAATTACTATCTTGTATGAATTTTCTGAAAATCTTGTATATTGTTGAAATAGACACTATTTTGTACATTTAAACAATAAAATGTATTAAAAAATTTCTACCATTTGTATTATGATACCTGTATTAAAAGTATGCGTATACAGTTATAATTCTAAGAATAGAAATGCAGTCTGTACTTAATACTAGGTCAAATAACGATATACGCAGTATATAATATACATATATATATTCTCCTATGGTATAAAAAAATAAATTTTTTAGTATCCTAATTATAAAAGAAGAATAAATAATAATATTTTAATTTGCATTGCATTCCGCAACATTAAGATTATTATTCTCAATTATGGCATCTTTTATAGAATTTAAAATAATCTCTACCATTCTAAGTCTTTTCTCCAAATTCTCCAATTTACTGAATATTCTTTCATTATTCGATTCTCTACCTCTTCTCAATAAAATATCTTTAGCTTGTTTAATAATGTGTGGATCCATATTAAGGATGCGTAACGCTTTGTTTTTCGAATTTTTATCTGACCTTGCCTTATAAGTTTCGAAATTATTGTACGGCTTTACACTTAGCTTACCGCTATTCAAGTAGGTCGGGAAAAGAAGAATTTTCTGTACGAGGAATGCCAATGGATTGTATCTCCGAGCATGCAACAAACTGCAACAAATCAAATAATATGGCCTACGTATAAAAGGTTTGCGAACAACTATGTTTTCGATGTAAGCAAGAATTTGTACCCTGGAAATTAGCCCAATTACTTCAGCCTTTCTAAGTATATCTGCAGTATTGCTAACTGCTAAACCATTTAATAAATTGAACAATACTATTACAATAAGGAAAACAAAGAGCATGAAAACAAGATGACTAAGAATGGGATGTGACACAAAAGAAATATCATTAGCGTCGAACTCTCCAGTGAGCATGATGATAGTTTTGAATAACGAATGTCCAGGATCTGGGAAATTTGTATTATCATCATCCTTGAAGAGAGTGAAGAAAGCCAGTGCGAAGGCTAGGATAAGAACTGCATAAAGGAACAGGAACCGTATGAAGTTTAACGATACCGATTTAAATATTTCGATAGCGGTGGACATTCGAGGATGCTTGCCGATTAAAATTACCAATTCCCAGGCAGACAATAATATTGTTATAGCCGCAACTTGTGTAAGTCCGCTTAAAATAAAAAATCCGAGTATTATTAATGCCATTTCGATCCAATTTTCCAAACTGGATACATAGTGATACGGTGAAGAAAGAAACTGAAGGATTTCTCTGATTGCGAGACACAATATCGCGATGCCAGTGAGTATTTGTAGAATATAGACGAAAGATGATTCTTTTATTTCTTCGTTGACATATTTGCTCGAGTTTGTCGATATCTGTGTATCTCTTGCATAAGTGGTGTACAGAATATAAGTGTTCAAAAGTAGATAAAACAGAACGTAAAATGCAAAGTTTAGATATAAAATATATCTTATTCGGTGCCATTTGAGGTATAAGAAAGAAGACAACAGAGGATGCGTCAGTAAGTGTTTTAAGCCATTGTTACTAGCGATATATTGAAAAACATCCATTTCTCGGTTCTCTTGTGCAATTAAATTTTTCTGATGATCTATCATATAAGAGGTGTCGTGAGACATTAAACATTTGTAATCAAATTCGATAGTGTACTCGTTTGTTCGTTCTTCCCTAGCTTGTATGCAATCGTCAAAGTACTGGGATAAAGTGGACACGGAAATATCGGCAACTGGAGGAACGCCAAAGTGGTTCATGTGACCGATGTAGCTTCCTTTTTCGAGCAGCAGGGTCACGGCTTCGCGACAATCAGCCCTAGCTGCGTAATGAAGTGGAGTATTTCCTTTACCTGCAAATTAATTATTTTTCATTTAAATTCAGTGTTAAACTTGGCATATTTGCAATTTCTGATCTATTTCTACATTTTCTGATAATGTTAAGTCATTTTAATAAACCTGTTCAGCTTTCACATTGTAAAAGAGTATCTCATCTTTACCGTGTAACAATAGTTTAGTAAAATTTCTTTGACTTTTTATATATACTTGAACTTTTTATTTTCTTCTAGTTGAAACAGAATAACATCTGATACACCCTTTTGCAATATAAAATCTAAAGAAGTTATTTATAATAGATCTAAATAAAAATTATTAAACGAAAGATATGTATAAATATGTAATACTTACTATCAATGCATCGAACATCCACATCCTCTCTTTGCAGGATCAATTTCAAACATTCCAATCGATCATCCATGCTTCCTGATCCTTCTTTGCCTGGTATACCAAGCTCTAGGCAAGCATTTAATAACAATTCATTTTTAACTTCAACATCGGTATCTAGTATTCGACGAAGGATGTATGGTGACCCTAATTGAACAGCTAAATTTGCAGCCTTTTCCAAGTTACTTCCAATTCCTCTTGTTTTTTCTAGCAATGCAATGACTGCATCCTCGAAGTTTTTCTGCACGGCCATTTCGATCAGGTCCTCTGCAACATTGTTTACTACGTCAGAATGGACAATCTGCAGGCATTTTAAAAAATTCATCTCGTCATTGGCGTTTAAATAATATTTCAAATCATGGACGTTTACGCCACGTTTTTCGACAGGTGGTAACTGAATATTTGGTAGCTTCTTTTGCAACACTTCTCTAGTTGTTTGGTTATTATAGTCTTTATACGTATCTAAATCCAAAATCTTGGCTTTCTGCAAAATTAGGTTCACCATATTTCTTTGGCCTTTCATGGCTGCCATGTGTAAGGCAGTCAGACCTTTGTTATTGGGAATATTAGGACTGGCTCCTTTTTCTAAGAGCAACGATGCAGACTCCTCGTCATTCTTTTTCACCGCTATGTGCAGAGCTGTTTGTTGTCCAGCCTCCAGGTTTGGATTTATAGTAAGTTCGTCTAATAATATACTGAGGATATCTCTGTGGCCATAGTCGACAGCGAAGTGGATTGGTCCTCGGTTGTGAGCTTCGTTAACCCTATTTAGTGTCGCCCCTTTCTCTAGTAAGAACTTTACGAATTCTGGAAGACCATTCTTACACGCAATGTCCAAACAAGTTTCGTTCGATCGATTTGGATAAGCATAGTTTATATCGATAACAGGTGGTTGTTTTTTTAAACTCTCATCTATCAGACACTTAAAATGTCTAATGTTCTTCGTTCGTAAATAGTCTAACAGTAACGTATATATTTTTGGGGTTTTTTTAGAATTCGAAGTGTAACCATGTAGAAGGTGCATCTGCAAGGCCTCGCCTTCAGGATCCATGTTTGAATCTGAAAATACACGGATGTGAAAAGTTTAAAATATTTCGGTAACATGTCTACCAAAGTTGGTATTTTTCATTAATAAGTATTATCATTTGTGAGATTTTGATTTCAGATGAACTTGGACGACTTTTTGTGTCTAGAGCATAGACCTGACAAGAAGTGAAATGGAGAATAGCATTCCTTCAGAAGACAATATTTATAAAATAATTAGTGCAACCGCAAAGAAAAGGTTGATATATTAAAATTTTTCAGAGAAAGCTGCTACTGTAATGTATAAGACGTGTAAACAGCGAGAAATTTTACATAAGGTGTAAGTTATACCTGGAACGAAACAGCTTACTACGCGACAAGTCTGTCGAATGCCCTATGTAGGTGTAAATCATCATGATACTGTTCCAGCAATGACGTCATTAAATTATACTTTACTAGAGTTAATAAAGATATCATATTGCAATAATTCCTTTGCAAGCATGTACTTAAGAAGTTTATTACCCAAAACATTTCAGAGATTAGTGTTTTAAATATTTTTAATTTAATTTTAAATGTTAATATTTTAATCTTTGTTTATATTTCAGTTTATTAACAGTAAATCAACGAAATGTTTTTGTTCATGCGATAACGATTATTGTCTTATTGAGTAGTACGGTTAACAACCATGTAATGCGAGATGACGGATCATCATATAGCCACAATAAAAATCAATATAATATATTAATTTACACAAGAGTAGAAATTTAAAAATATTACATTTTTCATTTAAGACTATTTGTAAATATTAAACTTGATCCGACATATTTTTATCGGAGTATATATTATTTGAAGATTAACACTCGTTCCCTAAAATACGAGACACATATTTATCATTCATGGAAGCAAATGTACTGCCCGGATGTGTTTCCTGTTATTAGCATTGGTTCAAATTCAGGCAAACGAGGAACGATGACAATGGTGTTGTTGAATTACTTTGAACAATCATTGCAATCACACTGAAATTAGTATAACGAACTTCGTTATCAACGATGGAATATCAAATGCCATTGTGAAATAACGAATAAAGATAATTTTCAACGTTGTGCGTGCGAAATTTAGAATTAAAACACAAGCCATTGACTAAACAATTAATGTATATCAATTAATAACGCATGCTTTAATAATTACTTTACTATTAATTAAGTAGTAAGATGAAAGTCAGAAGTTTGATATCTAATATCAGATATACTTTTATAGAATACATTATAAAATTTTATTTAAATTATTGTTTATCAAGGAAAAAAATAACAAAATAATGATCTGAAATTTTTAAATGATAGTGTAAATATTCTTATCTTATACTAACAATATTAAATTAATAATAAATTAATTTTAATTACTCATATGTCAGTTGCAATCATTAATTTTCAATTGAATTTATTATTAATTTAGCATCATTAATTATATGTCTATTATACCATTTTATATACTGTTTATTCTCACATGTAATATTAAAAAGTTATATGGTCCACGTAATGAATGGCCCACCTTCGATAGCTGATTGTTGAGGCCCACTTTATACAAGCAGGGTATGCTTAAGTATAATTTGGATGATTTGGTGCGCCAGTAGATCACTAGATGGACATGGTGTCACTATACACTTTCTACGAATGAAGAAAAAATTATACCTGATGTAATGATATAAAGAAAACGTAAATCCCTTAGCGAACTCGGTCTGTCATATAGAAGACTAACTTGTAAGAACAGCTTTTGCTGACCAGTTCTGTGCATCGTGATGTCAGCGTGGCTATGGAGAGGGGAACGATCAAGTATCAGGCAGTATTCATAGTCGTTCTGCTTCTAACAACAGAGAATGTATATTTCTCGTCTCTTGACGCATTAATTGAATGTAATATTCTGAATAAGCGTTGAAATATTTGTGAAAACATAATATGGTGATAATTACACCTAAATGGTTCAGTACGGAATTTAATTATGATTTCTACTACCAATACAGATTTTATAAAATATAAGCAATATGAAAATTGGTTGTTGTTAATATATTTAATATAAGGTAATTCATAATAATTGAATATCATAAATAGAGAAAATAATAAATTGGATGATCAAGCGTGATAAAATGAAATTATTTCAAAAGTTATACGCTATGTAAACGTGTCATTACTAATTTAAGAATTATTTCACACAATCGGAATGTTGAATTTTTTAATTTATAAATAAGGAAAAAATTATATGTTAAAGAAATTGGTTCTGTTTATTTCAGTCCCTCTATAAGGATTTCCTTACTTAATGCAGAAAATAATCCAACATTATTTATTTAAGAAAATAAGATTGCATCCAAATTATAAAATTGTGTTATTAATCAAAGAAAAATATATAAATAATAAATCTATTCCTTCTTGAGAATAATAGACATCGTGATATATTACTTGTTAAGTATATCTAATTGTGATTATGACTTAGACGTGATATACCAAAACAGAATGCCTAATAACACGACCTGTCTATTTCCATTGCAATTAATATATACCATGTCAATCTTTTTTTTTTTAAATTATAAAACGGAAGTTGGTCTTACATTCATTTCTATATGTCGACAATCTTATCAATAACGTGAGCAGCTGGCCCTGTGCTCACAGGATACAAGGTCAAACGAATCGAGGATGAAAACCAAGAACGTTGTTAGGGTGCGTAGGTTGCGAAATCGACTATATCCAATAAAGGAGCCAAGGAGATCCTTTCTATGTAAGTAGATGACATCAAAAACGTTGCTTTCAAAAATATATTTTTCTTCTAATATTTTAGTATTTTTTCTGTAATTATCATGTGTTTTTCCAGGAAACAATTTTTTAAAAGAGAAGAATATTATTTCGTTATAATTTATACTTACGTTTCTTATTAGTATCTTATTTCTTCTTCTCGTACGATACATTCGATAAAAACTTTTACGATATGAATATTTGAAACCTTGAAATATAATATAAATATAATAAAAATGTAAGTCTTCCCTAGATAATATTTATCAATTTTGTAAAAAAATATTTATTCATACTTACGAATTTCATTCTTAAATACATTAAAAATTAATTTTTCTTACTTTTTTACAATTTTCTAACAGTACAAAAACATGATAACTTAAAAAGAACTCAAAGTCCATAACAAAATTAACATTAATATTTTTTTTTTTAAGGTATTACATACGTTACTTCACATTTTTCTAGAAAGAAATAAAAGAAATAAAAGAAATATTCAGTATTCACTGACAAATTCGATTCCAAATTAAGGGACAAAGTTGTTTATCCATAAAGGTTAGCCGCGGTTTGAAGGCGCATGCGCATCGACTGGTTTTAATCGCATCACATTTAACAATCGCATGGTAGGGGTAAAGAAGCACATGCCTCGATAGCGCGACGTTTAATCTTCAGTTGCTCAAGAACATACCTCAAGTGTAGATATCGCGGTAACGAGTTGGTGCTTCTGCTTCTTTAACGAACTTCTGTTATTTTGTTATTGTTCACGGTTCTCTTTGACAACAAACTGTTATTACTTTGTAATACGTTTCGCAAAATTAAGGTAAATAATATCACGTATCTAATCGAGATTTTTAATACGTTACCAGTCGAACCAGTTAGACGTGAAGTTAGCGTTTTTAAAAATATTTCAAAAGAATTTACGAACTATCTTGCGTTATTTCAATACTATCGAAATTATTTATCATGAAAATTTTATAGTATGAAATATGAAAGTGAAATACTACTTTAGTGAATTATGTAAGAAAATGTAAGAAAAGCTGAATTACTGGTGATGTATTAATTAAAATCTGTTTATATTTCTTTACATTTATTAACATGAATTTATAGCGGAAAAATAAATACTGGAAATAGGAATATAATTTTTTAGTAAACGAAGATATTTTTCTCAATGAAATGAAACGTGACGTACATCAACGTCATGTACCTTCACTGATCGTGTACAATGTAAATAGTATCGTAGTATATAAAAGTATGTATGTATTTTTCGCATTATGACGCCTTATGTTTACATTGATAAATTTAACAATTACTGTTATAATTATAGTTATTGAAAAGTATTATTTTACAGTATTATTTTACAGTTGTTTTATTTAAGCAATATTTTATTAAAATTTTCCTATTTAAATAATACATAGAATAAAAAAATCAAATACTCTTATTGTCAAGGTTGGTTCGGCTTCAATTACACTTATGCCGTAAGAGATCTCTACGATGAGTAATTCTGAGTAATTCAGCGTGCTGTAAACAAACATTATGTCATCATCGTGTATTAATGAATTCGCTGACGGCGACGGTACAAAAGGCAAAAATGGCGATTTGTCCCGTAGTATTATTATTATTCCAGAAAATCGATGATTCATGTGAATAAAGTATTGAATTGTGCAATATATAACGATAACATGTAATACTTAAATTGTTAAAGTACTTAGAAATACGCCATCGTTGATAAACAAAATAAACAATTGACTAAAAATAAACACTTTCTTCCTATGACGTTTACGGCGATGATAAGGAAAATGCGAACTAAATGTATATTTCTGAATTTCTATTTCAGTGAAAAATATCGAAGCATATGTATATCTCAAAATATAAAGTATAGTTTTTAAGTGTATTTGCTGTGAATTTACTTTAACGTTGATTTTCTGATAAATTTAGTAATCAAATGTAACGAATTATGATTTTAATTTCTTTCTTATTTTTATTCAAAGATTTTATAACGTTGAAAAAATGTAAAATGATATTTAGTAATACGTGGATTTATGGATTTATTTATAGATTTATTTAATGGGCATTACACTACAAATTTTGCAAAATTATGTTATCTTTATAATATTTTTATAAATTTAACAATTTAAAAAAATAAGGAAATTATATTTTAGTCAGGGCTGAGTTACGTGATTGCTATGTTATGTCTCACGAATGCCTAATAATGTTGTTAGATAATAGAGAAAAAAAATAAAGAATTTCACAATAATTAACTTTAAAGAACATCGCTTTTCTCAAATACATTCCACGAAGAAAGTATAATTTTATTTTTCTAAATCAGAAATTCAAATGGGACTTTTATATAGAAAGGTACTTTCGCAAATTTGGGTTATGATTCGTATCACAATATCGGAAGAAATTAATTCTTAGTTACATTTGACTCGTTTGTGTCTATCAAAAGCATCAACGAAATTTTCAAACTGTTCTCAAAAAGCAATCTTACTACAAAATACTATACAAGAAAGTATGGAGAAAAATAGCTTCGTATGCTTCCGTGACTATTACAGGTTTGTCGATCTGTCCGCTACTTTCTCTGTGTGCTGAAGCGAGACGTTTCGAAATGGTTGAGTCCTTCTATGTTTTAAACAATGGTGAATGATCTAATGAAACGCGTGCACATTCGTATGTAAACGAAAGGATTTGTGTACGTGGATGAAAAAATTCGTAGCGTTTCTTCGGCCGAATACGGAGATGAAAGTTTCTCGTCAGAGATATAAATATAGTCAAAGAGGAAGCTAACACTTCGTGTAACCAAAACAAGAATCACGAATTGCTTGCGAGTAAATATATATATATATGTACATACGCAGATGAAGTCTTGACCTCTTATGGGGATGAGTTATACGTCCCAGATACTTCCGATGTTTAGAGAAAAATTATAATTACGATTTAAAAAATTGTGAGAAGAAGACGGAATTAATGTTATGGTTCGTGACTAATTAGGAATATAAGTTATGGCAATACTAATTAATAACAAATGTTTTCTAATATTTATATTTGATATATTCTATTCTGAATATTAATCTTATTCTTTATTAATCGAAAATAACGTTGTATTATGTTTATAGATAAAATTTAGATAAAGATCAGATCCTTTTTCCTGTATCCTATTTTCTGAAGCCTACCATACTTAGTGAGATCACACTTTAATATATGTAATGTGACTGATCAACAGTTCCTCGTGTTTGCCATATTGGGCAAATTCGATTGAATTCTCGATAATTATGAAAACATCTCGTATACCTTCGAGACGTAACTCGGTCACGTGACCTGTAACACTTTTTGTGTTCGTCATATAAGTAGAAATTCATAGTCAGCTTGACCCTTCTCAAGGAATGACCAATATTTAATTTTTCTTGTGAGATTACATCATACAGCGATATTAGTTATTACTTGTTCCTGGTAATAACTAGGTAATAATAACTTATAATTTTATTCAATCGGTTTGAAAAAAAAAATAAAAATAAATAAGGTAAATTTTAATTTAGATATCTTACTTAAAAAAAAGAGAAAAGAGTTGAAAGAAAACAGTGCAGTTTTAACGAAAAATTACACAACAGTATGAATTTTATCAACGTATAAATTTCGTATAAACTCTATTGCCGTCTCTTACGAGTAAAAATAAAACAAAAATATCGTAGAAATGTAGACCTTTATATACTTTATATACTTTCGAAAAATGAATACTTAGTGCAATTTTGAAAAATGAGAAATACGTGTCTTATTACTTCTTCATATTTTTCTTAAGATGAATTTTTATGCTTAAAACTTGTTTCAGATTTTTAAAAAATATTCAGGGTATATCTTTTGTCATTGTTTCCTTTTTTCCTTTTTCTTTTCTTCTGTCTTTTCTTACTTTCTTACCGTATCACTCATTTCTTTGCATTTTCTATCTTTTTTCTTTCTTCTTTTATTTCTCATATTTATCATTTCCCCTGCTTCTAATTCTTTTTTCTTCTCACAAAAATGAAACACAAGTAATACATTTTTTAAAATTAAAGAACCTTCTGTTTAGGAAATGAAATACTGCCAAATCGAGAAAGATCTTCATTAACCATAAAAGACACAACGATATTTTGTATTCTTGGGAAAAGAATAACAGGTTATATTAATTTCCATAATCCAGATCAACTCGGACATCGTACCACTTACAACTATTAGAATGCTATTGATATACGTGTATGTATCAGCAAAGTACTATAAGTGGGTCATGAGTCATCTGTTTGACCTGTATTTGTTTGGCTTATTTGAACGTTGTACATTTTGTGATATTCATGTTTTATTCAGTCCAATGTCGAATGGTGGGCGATTCTGGATACCCACCATGGACATATTCTTATATGGTTGTTCGTGAGTCGTTTCTTTCGTGGCCCGTCTTTCGAGGTCGTGTTCATTGCACAATTCCAAAGGAATCTCCACGGTTATCTATAATCGTTCAGTACGTTTTTCTGCACATTATCGTGACATTGAACGAGCAAACGACGGTATAACGCGTCTTTATGATTTGTGGGTGTTTTTTTGGTTAATTAAGAATCAATCGAAAAATTATAAGTAGCCGTGATTGAATAAGGCTGTAATCATGGTCATAAATCAAACATCATGTTAGTAGGTAATGGGAGCCCAATAGAGGAAAATATTATAGTAGCGTGCTACTATGGTGGGAAAAAGGAAAGGAGACCAGTTCCGATATAATACGTCCTCGAAACATTTATTTCTGATATTTCCAAGGTTTTTGGAAATATTTAATCATCATGATCTATGATATTCGTTGCATGTAACACGCTATTTGGCACTATCGTATTGCACTATTTACATACATCTTGATATTTAAAGATTCGTATTTAAAATCTATATATTTAAATCTTTATATTTTTCAAATAAAAAGTCAATTAATACTATTTATTACAGTCGAAGACTAAGAAGGAAAAGTTGAATATGAAATTTATTAAACTACCACGAATCGTAATAAATCTTGTAGCGAATATTTTTTAATAGATTATACATATATTACATACTCATCGCCACAATTAAGGGATCAAGAAATTATCGTGGAAAAATTCTCGATTTCTGAACTGCTGCTACTTCGCGAAGAAACCATCGTACGACGATTTACTATCGAGTGTACTATGGTTTTCAAGAAGTCCTGCATTGTGGAACGCTTAAAAAAATTTCAGAATATATTTATCCCTTCATATGCACCCTGCACTTAGGACGATAAGGTAGGAGAGAAAGCTTGGTAGAAATTATCAGGCCTCTGGGACGATTCTAGTGGGATAAAATCAAGGGGGTTTAGCAGTGATCAATGCCACTGCTACTGAGTACGTAGGTCCCGGGAAAGAAACCGCAAGAGTCCCTGGAGGACCACGATGGTCCCAGTATCGGGGTAATGGATAGGAAAGGAAAGGAAAACAGATACATGGATCGCATTCACACTCTAATCATGCACTATAAGCAACATGCACGAGAAACGCATCCGATTACAAAAAAGGAACACTGCACGATTATGCACCTACAGTGTTCAGAGGAATACGTCCCGAGATCAGAGATTTATAATTGGGACAATGAGAAACACTTACGAGAATGACGCAGTCTGTCAGTATCCATTTAGCTGTAAGCGGAGGGTCTATTGTTATTGCATATATATGTGTATTTTGCGCAGTAAGGTAGCACACGGTAAGGGGCTAGAAGTTTAGGAAGTTACCGTAAAATAAGATCTTGCTAGATTGAAAGAGTAGTATTAATTCGAGATTGCTTATAGCTGTTTATACAATATATTAAACAATATAATTAAGAAATTATATTATTAAAAAGTATTTGACACACAGATCTTCGAACTGCTGTGACTTCATAAAGAAACATTGCATAACAATCAACTTTAGCTCGTTTTAAAGCTTGAAGTCTCTACTTTAACGTATAGATACTAAAAATAGTTTCTCGAAATATTATATACTAAAAATAAATAAATAAATGAAATAAATTATTAAAAATTTTAAGTAAATAAATAAATAAATGAAACAAATTATTCTAAATTTATATCTAAAAACAAATTTATTTGTAAAATTGATAAGGAGAAACTTAGAAACGACTTAAATATATATTTGAAATTTATAAAATACAAAAATAAGGTATATATATATGTGATATCAGCTGAAAAATCACGTCACTGTGCGCCAGTTTTTAAATTTCCTTAATTTTTTTTATTTTTCCTTCTTCCTAATTTTTTAAAATTATCAAGAAATATGCTTCAATAATTAATAGAATATTAAAAGCTATCATTGTTCGTTTCTTTTTTAGGAAAAAGTAAGTGTGCATTATTGAAAATATGGGTGGCATGACACAAAGACCGTGGACACCAACAAAGAGACGAGGTCCCATCGCTGCAGAGTATAGTAGCCCAGGTCCTGCTTGTGTAACATTACCGCCATTAATCGGTAATTACTATATAAATATATTATCTATTCAAAAATGTAATGCACGCCAAATAATTGGTTCCCTTCAGCTGCTTAATTTAAAAAGATAGTCATGCAGATATCTGCAATAATTATCTGGAGAAAAAAGTTCGTAGTACATATATTTCGCCTCCACCCTGTCCATCTAGAAAGTATTTTTAATTATACTTCACTAACTATGCGAAATGCAAGAAAATGTTTTAAGTCAGTATTGTTAAGCTTGATGAGAGTTACTTAAAAAACAAAAAATTAATGTTACACCATTTAAAAAGTACGTAAATTTTTAGATGTCAAGCAGTATACTTCAAATATTTAATACACTCGTATAATTGGCCCTCTTTAACCATCTATACATCTTATCCTTCTTTTATTAAGAAAATTCTAAACACAAGTTGAACTTTTAGGAAAAACTGCACCCGACTCGAAACGAGGCAGAGCACCAGCTTTTTCATTTGGAAGCCGGTACGATATGTAGATTCATTTATAAATTTGATCGAGAATAATGACACAATTATAATACGAAATATAAATTATGCATTTATTTCTATTACTAAAACTTCGTAAATATAAAATTAGTAAATACAACAAATATTTACATAGTATCCTTTATGTCTTGATATACTAATTAGAAAAATATGAATTTTGACAAAGTAAAATCTAGAAACTCATATGAATAAGAGCATAAACATAATTCAGGGTATAAATATATCCAATTGTTATTAAGATAATTGTAATCTCATTTCTAGACATGCGACAAAGAATGGCAGTCCTGGTCCGGGTCCTGGTCAATACAATGTTTTCGGTCTCAGTGCCAAAGGCAAGATAATTTATTCATTTGTTAAATCTAAATTTGTAATGCTGGATTCGTGTGAACTTTTTATTAACTTATAACTTGAGAAAAATGTCAAATAAGATACTTTTTATACTAATTTCTTTCTATTATGTTTGTATTAGCTGTTTATCTTTGTTTGTCAAAGAAGTTCTACATATAAATTGAAAAGCAATTTGCATCGTTGATTTGATAGTAATAACAATTTTAATAGTAATCTAAAATTTGAGTTACTACGTAGTCGGGACAATAACGATGTGCAAGCACGAAACGAATAGTCTGGACATCGTCATTCCGTGTTCAAATGAAGTATCGATCAAACTTCAGAGCAGTTATGTTCCATAAGAATGTACTCTTTTTAATGTGCATTATTCACGAAATTCCTTTGCTTTTTCCTAATAATCACTTCTTCTCGAAGCTTATTATATTGTACGTTGTTCGTGTTTTCTATTTTATAATAATCTTAATTAAATTGAATGAATTTTAAAAACATTACGAATGTAATTACTATTTAAAAAGAATATAAAATGATCGAATTTCCTTTAGCGAGATTAAAAGAATTTGATTAATTTTATAGAGAAAAATTCTCTATACGTAATAAAATATTTTATATTACTTTTCAAAGTAAACTTCTTGTTTCTCTTTTTATCTTTGCCGGTACACTTAAAGAATTATTGATAAAATATGTTAAATTTTGTTCTCGTGTGCACAGGAAAAGAAGCAGTACCAGCATCATCGTTACATGGCCGCGTGAAATCTATGAAACAGGAAGTAACACCAGCGCCTGGCGATTATAATCCAGAGAAAGCCGAAAAAATTATTCTGGACAGTTCGCCAAAATATTCATTCGGCATCAAAACTCAAACTGAGAAGATCAGTTCTACTCCTGGTGAGTATGAGTCATCTATATATATCGTAACAAGGCAGATATAAGGAAAATGAATTTTAAATTAGAAAAATTAGAATTATTTTCCCGACTTAGTAACAAATAAATTATAATAATCATAAAATAGAGAATATACCACCTGAAATGATTGAAAATATATGTGTAAGAAAATGCAAAAGCTCTTTCTACATTTCTTATTTAAAATACAATTATTAACTGTTATTATGGATGAAAAGAATCATATCTTTTCACTTCAAAGTTACTTTAAAATCATTCCATATTTGTTTAAATACTGCAACATCGATTTATTTTTAAATATCGTAAAAGTTCCAAAAAATATATAAAATAACAAATCATTTGTTATATGAATTATGATATTGTTCACGTAAATATTCTTTTTTGATTTTAAACTAGTTTAACGTAATAGTTCAATAAATTCTTTTCTTTAAATAATGTAAAATCTCGCGATGGAAATATTCTTGCATATTTCATCATTTATGGCCTTTATGTTATATTTTTTTTAAATATCTTCATTTTTATGATAAATTTCAACCATAATCCCATCTTAACCGTAGCGCCGAATGACTATTGCACCGAAAAAGTGAATCTCGACAAAACCCCTGAGTACAGTTTCGGCTTGAAATCTGTACTGGACAAACAGATCGATATTCCTGGTAATTAAGTACATCACAGCAATAAACTTTGCATCTACCTGACTCTCTATCTTTACAAACACTAATTAAACAATAACCAATTAGTTAATCGATTTTCCATATTTTTCAAAAAATAAAATTTGTCTTGCTAATTTAACAAAGTATACATGATATTAAGAATATACAGAATATGCAGGTTAATCAAAGAGCTGGCAGTGAAGAGTGACAAAAAAGCTCTTTTTATTTAAGAAACATATCTTCGATCTTGTCTGATTTCTTATTAACAAAATTTTAAAAATACAAATTTTTTACGCCTGTCGAAGAGCAACCCGCCATGTATCGCTCTATTTCTTTAGAATTTCATCCCAAAAAAATTAATCTAAACTACACAAATTTATATTGATATGATCATTTCATCATCTTGCTCTATCCTAGACTTGATTAACCTGTATTTCGAAAATATCTTATACACCTATCATTGCTATAATTTAATACAATTAAATCGGTATTCGGGTAATTAAACATACTTTCCGAATATACACTACTAATTTTGCAAAATGATATATATCGATTATTTGAAACATTCCAAATACTATTAGCGTAAAAAGTTGGTAATAAAAGTAAAGTTATTTTAAGACACGAATGACACGTATTTTTAGTCATAAATGAATAAATCACGCGTTTTATTTTATAATAAAATGATTAAAAGCTACGGTCATTATGCGAAAAAAATGATTTCTTAGCAAGAATCGATGCTGTGCTGAACAACCGTCCGTTGGTTGTACCAATCGCCTAGAGAGGAGAATTCTGGGCAAGCACAAATATAGCTACCTCTTGAAGAATAAACGTTGTACAATGTTTAGGTATTGCATCTTAGACCATATTTTTAAACGACAATTTTCTCTCGCTTTATATTTTATTATATAACAGAGTCACGTAATTTTAGATCATTTTGCAACTCTCCTATTCAAATTTTTCTTTGTAAATTATTGTTGTACTTTTTATAAGTAGATTGGAGCAAATGAACATGGCGCTTGTTATGTATGTATTTAATAATTGCATTGCATGTGTAGTAACTTGCACTTGTAATATTTTATTAATATTCTGTTATAAAATCATTTATAATTTAGACAATTTTTAGACATAAATTGCATAGCAAAGAATTACTGTATCTTTTTGCAATTATTTAAAAAAATTATTGACATTTTATAACTCTTATAAGAAGTTTAAAGGTATTATGTGGTGAAGTAAATTTTTCTTTTCTTGTCATATTATTATTTCCTTATTGGTTTTATCATTCATTTCGCTAGAAAGAAGTACAAATAATTGAATTTAAATATGTTATTTTTATTTACGGTAAAATTAATAAATATTGTTTTGTTTTAATATCAGCACCTGGAACTTATTGTCCGGAAAAGGTAAGGTTGGACAATACACCACAGTTCAGTTTCGGTCTGAGACCTCCCCTCGAAAAGCCAAGCGACACCCCAGGTAATTATTAAAAACTCTTAATTAAAATTGTATAAGTTGAACTTTTGTTATCGACATATTTGACAAACATAAAATATCATAAACTTTTACAAAATATGTAGAATATAAAATAAAGAAATATATATTTATTGATATTCGTACTATATAAACACGTTTCATGTATTTACATTATACCTTTTTATTCATGTATAGTACTACATTTATTTGTAGAAGTAATAAATGTTCTTTTAAAGTAGTAACTTGTTATAAACTGTTAGTAAACTAGACTGATAAAATGATAAAATATTTTTGTAAAAATATGTATAATCGCAAACGAGATATACCCCCACCATCGATACATGTCGACTTACTTTTATAGCACCTGGTACGTATAGTCCTGAAAAGGTAAACCTGGACAAAGGTCCTCAATACAGTCTCACTGGAAAAGGTCGAGAGGAAAAACCTGACAACACCCCTGGTACGCAAATCGTTCCATGTTGTTACATTACTTTAGTAATAAAACAGTACCATTTACGAAAATATTAAAACGTTAATAATTAACAATGACTAGTAAGCTGAATCAGAAAATCTGATTCATGATAGACGAATGTTCAATACGATATATAAAATAATATTTCTTTCTCAATTAATCAAAAAATATAAATCTTAGTGATGAAAATGTTATGTACGTTATGGAAATGATTCTTATTTTTAGATGTTAAAAAATTATTTAATCACTCACAATATATGTGCTTGTGATTACGAAAGTAACCTGTCATACAAGTTTCGTGTTCGAAATATTTAAAATTTCGCGTTTCAAATATTTTACAAATTAAAAAAATTAATTACAGAAAAGCTACGAACTCAATTTAATGAATCAAGTCTTTGTTATTTTGTCAAAAATAGTTTTATCTTGTTTTAATGTAAATAAATACAACACAAAATAAGCGATAAAATTATTTATTTCATATCATTGACTTACATCACTTTCATAATTATGGACACATTCTATTTTTCGATTGAAGTTAAATATTTTAACTATTATTTTTGTATTGAAATAATTCTGAAAAGCGGGAAAGAAGAGTTTGATCATTAAAAAATAAGAATTACCCCATTAATTAACATGTAATAAATACTATATGATATACTAATCAAACTATCTGAAGTCACCAAACATTAAATAACATGTTCATCTTAGAGAATTTAATTTCAAATAAAAAATTTAATAAACATAATTTATTTTGGAATGATTGATTATTTTCAAACAATCTATAATAACTATTTTTACATAATTGAATAAAAAATTATTCTTAGCGCCAGGTACGTATAGTCCAGAGAAAGTGAAATTGGATACGACGCCGCAATTTTCTTTTGGACTGAAAACACCTCTCGAAAAAACAGACACCACTCCAGGTAATTGCATGAAGAAAAAGTTGTACTGTTTTGTATTGCAATTATTATATCAACACGCACCCTTCTTACAGCTCCTGGTACTTACAGTCCTGAAAAAGTTAATTTGGATAAGGGTCCCCAATTTAGTTTAAGTGGAAAACTTTCTTATGACAAACTAGATAATACTCCAGGTTTGTAATTAGCAAATTTAATTTAAAAGTATATATATATTTTTTATATTAATTGAAATTTTTTACTAAAAATTAAGAATTTCTAAAATTATTAAAATTAAAAATTTTATTAAATTAAGCATTGTGCTGAAGAAACAGTGATATTTTTAGATTAATTTTGCTTCTTTTGTATTTATTTACGTATGTAAATAAAAAAAAATCAATTTTTAGCACCAGGAACTTATGCTCCTGAGAAAATAAATCTTGATAAAGCACCGCAGTATAGTTTTGGATTAAGAACATATCTTGATAAACCAAACACTAATCCAGGTAAAATATTATAACCATTTTATTTATTATTATTTATTATTTATCAATAGACAGATTTATCAAAAGATTACTTGATTACTCCCATTATTTCTCTATAGCACCTGGAGATTACTGTCCAGAAAAGGTGAATTTGAGTAAAGGACCAGAATATAGTTTAACTGGTAAAGGGCCTTCTGAAAAACCAATTGATACCCCTGGTTAGTATAGTTAGTTTTTTCTTATTTTGCATTTACTTAATTTGTTATTTTATTATTTAGTTATAATTTTTAACATTAAATTTTTTCTAGATTAAATTTGTAACTTAATAATTTTTTCTATAATAGCACCTGGAACATACAGTCCTGAAAAAATAAATTTAAATAAAGGTCCACAATATAGTTTGTATGGAAAAGGAATCTTAGAAAAACCAAATGATAATCCAGGTCAACTTCTCTTTCTTTATAATTTTCTTGATTCGATTTATTATTTAATTTATTATTCTTTTAGATTAATGTCCTCTTGTATTTACTTTTTCTAATAGCACCAGGAACATATAGTCCTGAAAAAATAAATTTGGACATAGGTCCTCAATTCAGTTTATCTGGTAAAGGATTACCAGAAAAATATAATGACAATCCAGGTGAATAAAATAAAAAAATCAATATTTTTATTTTTTCTACATGAAAAAATTAAAATGAAAGTAGAAATGTTACTTGTTTATACTTGTTATTATATTAACTTATAATAAAAAGATTTAAGTATTCTGCTTATTATCGCAGCACCTGGAGCATACTGTCCTGAGAAGGTAAATTTAGATAGAGGGCCCCAATATAGTTTATCAGGAAAAGGAATACCAGAAAAGCTTAATGATAATCCAGGTGAATATTTCTTAGAATATTGCTGAAGCTTTTTATTTCGAAAATTCAATTGGTTTAGGTTTCAACATTTTAGAAACAACTATTAATGTTTTAATTGCTTTGGTAGGCCCTGCTGACTACTATCCAGAGAAAATAATAAATTTGGAACATAAACCTTATTTCAGTTTTGGTAATAGAAAATTTTTGGATAGACCTAGGTATACACCAGGTAATGGTGTCGATTAACGAATTATTAAAAATAATTATTGTAAAGTTACTAATCTAACACTCTTAATACTCTAAAACTTATGTTTTTCATATATATTGCTGAAATTTTTGTTGTAAGCATACTAAAGCTTTTGCTATTTTTTTTTTATTCTTCTATGCATAACTTTGTAACTGCTTTATAATTGAAATTTATTTCAATACATTAATTTAACATGTTTGTTTTAAAGCTATAAATTTTTCATAAATTTCATCTACCATTTCAAATTTTATAAACTGCAGATAAGAAAGATATTGATAAAAATTGTAATTATAAAATTAATTCAAATGTTTTTTTCAATTACACATATATTACAATGCTACAAGTTACAACAACTATACCAAGAAATATATTTTTATCGTTTCATTTAATGTTTTATTTAAGTATTTCTTTTTAAAATTTTATAGCACCTGGCACTTATTCCCCAGAAAAGGTCAATTTAGATAAGTCACCACAATACTCATTTGGTTTAAAATCATCTGCTGAGAAAATTAGCAATGTACCTGGTGAGCAACATTTAAAGCAATGTTCAAACTATTATTTTTTTAAACGTAAAATTTATAAAATTTTTATAATAATGCATAAAAATCATTCATTTTGATAAATTGAAAATCCAGCTCCAGGAAGTTACCACCCTGAAAAGGTAAATTTAACTAAATCACCCCAATATAGTTTTGGAATTAAGCCTGAAATACATGAAATGGATTCTATACCAGGTATGACAATTTTTTAAAATATACCACATTTGGTTTTATTTTATGTATTTGTTGAATAGATTTAATATTTTATTTAAAGGTCCAGGTGAATACAGTCCTGAAAAAGCTATGCTTTTATTGGAAAGAGCAATGCGATTTACTTTTGGTCTTAGAACAAGTATAAATAGACCAAATGATATTCCAGGTAAATTTATAGGATTCTTTTCCTTATTTCTGCCTTATTGTTTCTTCTTTTTTCTTTAACCTTTTTATCGTATACAATTTCCTTAAGCATCAGAACTATACCCATCGCCTTAACACGCCGGCGTGTACCACCGGTGGTTCACACTCAGGTCCCTTATCGGGCGGCGTGTACCACCGGTGGCTCACGCTCCAGTCTTCAAGCAATGCATGAATACGCGCGCCGCCCCACAGTGAGAAACACAAAAATCAGTGCCGGCGTGAACGTGTTAAATATGCTATATATATATTTACAGTATATCTTTGTATAAAGGATATATTATTAAAAAATGTCTATTTTTTAATTTCAAAATTAATTTCATTAATTATTATATAATCATTTCTGTAATAATATTTGATCATAATTTACAATTAGGAAAAAATTTGAATTCTATAATTTAACATAGATAAAATTATTATATCAGTTATAAATTTTTCATTGCTATCTTTGTTCTGTGATAGCACCAAATGTTTACAACATTCCTTCTGCCATTGGTGGAACTAAAGAAGGAAATAAAAAAACAGCACCGGCTTACTCAATCTCGGGTAGACAGAAAATTTCTATGGATGATCGTATTTTAGTTCCTGGACCTGGGACATATGAAGTTGTTAAACCAGATGCAGTTAGAGTGAAAAGTCCTGCTTATAGCATAAGTGCCCGCTATCAACTGCCTGATGATCATTCACAGATTCCAGGACCTGGAGCTCATTGCCCAGAAAAAGTATTTTCTATTTTTTTTTAATGTACTAAAACATTAAAGAATATAAAAGTTTCAGAATTTTTTAAATAGATTTCACATGAATAAATTATATAATTATAGTTTGGGAGTATCAAAGACCTAAAATTACGGGTATTTAATGCTTATTCTGAATGGGGATTCCGAAAATATCTCCCACTATATCAGTATACTGCAAATTTTTATGCTTAACTTAATAATGTAAATAACACATGTAATATATTATTAATAATATATAAAGTTCGTATATATTAAAGAAAATTTCAAAAATTCGCAGTATTCTTATATTGGAAAATATTTTTGTAATCTTAACTTAATCTCTGAAATAGTTCTCGGTATAATTTGAAATTTTTAAATTCATACATATCTTTAATACTTAGTATAGTTATTAATATTTGTATAGTGGTACAAACTACCTTTTACAGGTAATTCTTGACATTCCTCCAGCACATTCATTTGGCATTAGACATTCACCATATATATGCAACCTGAAGGACGTCGTTTATTAATATAAAAACCTATCGTAACTCGTTTTTCTGTCATTACTTTACCTCAAGAAAGTAAATTGTATACAATTTATATAACAATATTTTATTGTGAAATACCAATTTTTCGCTTAAGCAAGTTATTTCTTAACGCTTTGCGAAAGTGACTAGAAAATATCGTTTAAAATATAATTTAAATATTGGTGCTGCTAACTATTCAAATATGTTGTAAAAAAAAAACATAATAGTATTTCTAAATAAGAAAATATTATATTTAACAATTTCATTTATTCCATAAATTGTAGTAATAATCTAAATATAAATACTGATCACATGTTATTAAACAACAAATATTAAATATTAATCAACATGTTTCACAGAAGATTTATAGCAAGTGAAATAATAACAATTCATCTCCTATCTATTTATTTTTTTTTTAAGTGTATGACATATATAAAAATAACAAAATAAATATTTTACATACTGGATTTATTTTTTATATACAATTCGATTTGAAAGAAAATCAAGGAAATCTTGTAAAAGATGGTATAGAAAATGAATAAAAAATAACAAGTTATTTTATAATATTTTATAACGAACATTTTTTCATTAAAATGAATGTACACCCTATATGCAATTTACTATATAAAATAACTGGCCTATTTATAGTTATTTGAAAGATTGAAGTTACAAAATTTTCCTTACTTTGTGTTATTAAAAATATGAGCATCATTAAATTCTATTTTATTAAGTACAAAAAAAATAAAAATTAATCTCCATTTTATATGTATCAAACTATACGTAAAAATATTTGTATATAAAATATGTATATGTAATACTCAATTTAAATACATAGGTAGACAAAATTATGGCTTAACATTTACAGTCATTACACATTACACAAAAAAAATGCAATATTTGAGAAATATGTTTATATATATACTTATATTACTTGTCTGATACTCAATTATGATTTCATGATATGAATTTTAGAATATTTTCTAATGATATTGACCTGACAATAATCAACAAAAAAGCAATACTTTGGTGAAATCATGAATCATAATCATGTATCTCTACTGGCAGTATGAGGCACAATTGTATTTACTATAAACACATTCTCCTGATATCCACGTCGACAATAATTCTAAATTTTTATCTAACATTACCATATCAGCATCTGCACCATAGTTTAATACTCCTTTAGTTTTTTCAATACCGAGCGTTCTTGCTGGATGGAGAGTTGCAGCTTCTAAAGCTTCTACTATCGAACAACCTATGAAAAACAAATATATAGTCAAATTTTGTAGTTATATACCAATTGTATATGAAAAAAGTAAGTACTTTACTAGTGAATGATATCTATCTTTATTGATATACAAGATCTCTTGCAAAGTACTAGAGGATAGAGGATAGAGTAGAGACAGAGTATTCTTTTATTTTCAATAGAAGAATCAATTAAAAGTTTTAAATAAAATTTTAGTTCTGAAAAAATTAATTTTAAAAATCAAAATATTATACATATTACATATACGTTTAAATTACCTGTTACTTCTTTAAAGTTACGAACACACTTAGACATTTCTGCTGTACTGCCACACAATGTATCTGTTCCAGCAATATATGCAGATCCTGAATGCATTTCAATTTTAAGCTGCCCTAACTGATGCACACCTTCTTCTAATCCTAATGCTGACAGTGCATCAGTAACTAAAACGAGTCCTAAAATGTAAAATTAAATAAAAGACATTTTTAACTATTATGACTTAAAAGAAAAAATATGTATTGTAAACAAAGTACATGTACCTTCAGGATGGGTTCTGTGAGCTATACGTAATGCTGCTGGATGAGTATGAATTCCATCAGCAATTATTCCATAATGAATAATTTTGCCATAAGAAGTTTGGTCAGATGTTAGAAGTCCAACCAATCCTGGATCTCTATGATGAAACTTTAAATACAAATTTATCATTTTGTAATATTGCATTTCCCATAAATTAAAAAGGAATTTATATATTTTGTGTAATTACTGGTAACATTGCATTAAAAAGATGAGTAATGAAAGATGCTCCACTTTTTATAGCTTCTTCCCCTTCTCCTAAATTTGCTATGGAGTGTCCTAAAATTTTTAAACTTGAAATAATATTAAAATAACGAAACTAATAATAATAAAAACTTTATTAATTAATAAAACAATAATTATATCTTACCAAGAGAAACTTTAATGTTTCTTTTACACAATTCTACGATTACAGACTGAGCATTGGGAAGTTCTGGTGCCAATGTAATAAGACACACATTTTCTAATCTTCCATATATATCGGTTAATGACTCGAAACCCTAACATGTAATATTAGAAACAGTAATTTAAAAAATTAATCATATAAATTTAAATTTACGCATTTGTATATTACAAATATTTACTAATGTATTAAAATTTATATTTGTAGTCATATATACATTAAATATTTGGATCAAAATATTTAGGAGACTTGCTTTTTCAAATTGTTTTATATGGATCTCTGGATGAGCTCCTTTTTTAGTTGGGCTAATAAAAGGTCCTTCTAAGTGAATACCTAATACAGTTGCACCATGTATTCCACCTTTTTTTTTCATAATATTTGATAATATTTTATGATATGTTTCACTGGGTGATGTAACCAAAGTTGGACAAAATGATGTTACACCAAATTGTAGCAAATTTTTAGCTACTTTATTAATTCCTAGTTGTGCATTATTAATATTATGTGTAAAATCTATGCCAAAACCACCTAATAAATAAAATAGTAATAGTATGAATTGTAATTATATTTATAATTATTTACAACATTTTTATACAAAATTAAATATTTATTATATATCATATTTCATATATGTTTATATACTGTTCTTTATACAAATTGAAATTTTCTTATAACAATTTTGTAACATAAAGAAGCAATATTTACAACAATTTTACATATCTTAATTATGCAAAAATCAAATAAATTCTGTATTTCTACTTTAAATTATTCATAATTTTATTCACTATATAATATATGAAATTATTTGTAATATGTATGTATATATATATGTGTGTATTATATATATATATAATACTCATATTAAGTACCATTAATTTGAAGATCAATATATCCAGGTGAAATTAATGCTCCGTTACAATCGATTTTTATATTCGGTTTAATTTTTTCATCATAAAAAATTTTTTCTGGGTCCACTATTTTTCCATTGCGAATCCATAAATCCTCGTTTAAAATTTGTCCATCACGTAAAATGGAACAATTGTAAAATTGTTTTAAAATTTGTTCATTTTCTCGAGACATATTGATTTAGATTCGCGTCAAAATACGAGTATTTTTGTTAAGAAAAAAAAAAAATCCTCTTATCAATGCACCTTCATATCACACTATCAGTCACGAGTAAAATTATCATACCGTAAAACTACAAAGGCCTCACAAGTAGCAATGATCTTTAACTTTAATTGTCATAATTCTTCAAAGATGTCACTGAACGTAACTTCAAAGTACTTTTTATATTAAAGCGAAAAAAAAAGAAACATATTTTGTATCCATTAGTGATGGATGTTAGAAAATATTTTTTCTTCTATTTGTAATATCATAATATAATTTAATTAATATAATATACTATGAATTATTTTTGTGTAAAAAATTACTACAGACATATCAAAATTTATTTTAACCTTGTATCAGATGACTTAGTACTATTCCCAGAAATTTAAATAATTAAGAAAATTGTTTTAATAGTAATTGAATTTGACATATCTTAAAAATAACTTATAACAGTCAATATAATTGATTTACGACTTTATTAACAATTCTTTTTAATGTAAATATTTGTAAATTTAATGAGATTATAACAAAATTTTCGAATAATTTACATTTAATACTTACCTTATTAGTATTACCAGAATTTAACTTATATTTTAAATATGATGCAGACTATACAAAACCTCGTAAAACTGATTATAAAGGTAACAGACAAGCTTGGTCGATTTCAAAGTCCAGTATAATTCAAGTCCATAACAAATTGGAGTGAAAACAATTTAGTATAAAATTATATAAAAAAGGGTATGACTTTATGTAACATAAGGAAATTCGAATAACTTGAAGGAAAAGAACAATCTTTAAAAAAGAAAGAAAAAAAAAAGAAGTAATAAAGAGGAAAAAAAAAGAAACAGGAGAGGAAAATGGCACTGTTTGTCATACGGCAAGAAGAAACCGCCATCTGCTGTTTGCTTTTTTCAATTTTTGTATTAAAAATGCTTTAACAGTACCCAAAAATTTCTTCATAGATCAACGTGCGTTTTAAAAAAAATTCAACTAACTCTCTTGTTTGTATATAAACGTAACAATAGTATAAAATGAAGCAATTAAAAATGACAATGATTATGTTGAGCTGAGAGCGCAATTCGTTTATACTTATACGACATTAAATCTTAGGCTGTTAATGAGCCGTATTTTCTATTCATCGTCAACGTCGGATAAAGGGAGGGTACGCATAATTTTTTTTATCACCGGTATGTCGAAGAGTCTAGGCTTGATCTGGAATAGGAGATATGATATGATTAGATAATTGATACGAACAGGATTACGTTGGAGCCACAGGTGCAGGATATCTAGGCAGTTATCGGTCGGGTTTCGTTAGTGTGTGTGTATGTTGTCGCTTACTGTACGCACGAACAATTTTTTTTCTTAGCTTAATCTGTTTGTAATTCTACTGTTGTTTACAGTCATTAGGATCAGTTCCCCCTTGTATCCCACCTGGTGGTGCATTATTTGGAGAAGACTCCTCATCATCTTCATCCTCCTCCTCAGGGTCATCCTCATCGCCCTCTTCTTCTTCATAGTCTTCATCTTCATCTTCTAAGCCTTCTCCTGAAATTTTTTTATAACATGTATTTTAATACGAAATTAATAAAATTTAATTTAAAATGAATTAAAATTAACTGAAGTTTCAAAGTATATAACATAAGATATAGACAAATTTTGCACAAAATTTGAAAACTAATTATCTAAATGGGCAGTTGCCTTAAATTGGTTTAAGAAGAACAATCAATAAATGATTATATGACTTGTAATATTGATTTTTAATTGAAGAGTACCTGTATAGTACAGTACAGCTCTAGGAACTATACGCTCTCTAATATAATGGCCAATTTCAAAATCACTAGTTAACAAAGCTTGAATTTCATCATCTAATTCTGCTTCAGAATCTTCTGGCACTGAAAATATAATTTGTAACGAATTATGTATAAATAATACTTGATATAAAAGTAAAATATGGAATATAAAAATTATAAGTAATCCTTACCAACTGGTGGACTGAAAAAGTTAAAGAATGAATCATTCTGAACAGTTTTTGTTACAGTTCGTATGGACCCTCGTGATTTATGCTTCTGATTTTTTTTTATAGTTTTTACTGTAACGTTCTTTCCTTTTTTCCAATCAATCGTACAACCCTATAAAAATGATTAGAATTAACACATTTGTTTAAAATACTTATTCATTAAGTTTTTATTAATATAGAAATAAAGATAAAGAAACAAATTAAAAATAATATTTACCTTACATTTGTATATTTCAGGCCCTTCAAAACTAAATGGATCATTTTTATCAGGAGTACACTTCATAATGTATTCTTTTGTTAAAACTGAATTAGTAAAGTATTCATTTGGTTCAAAATGGAACTCAAGAACAAAGCCCTACAAGAAATCTCATTATCTTTAAAGTGATTCCTTTGAGTGTACACTTTTTGTGTATGTTTCATATTTTTTAATTATACAATATATTTTGGAGTAAACTAATATCCATATACATAATATAGATACTTTACAATTTAATGACCTTTCCTTTCCGAACTTACCATTGGATTACATTCAAGGAATATTACTTTAATATCATACAAGTGTTTGAGTATTGGTTCATCATGTTCCTGAACCATGTCAGATAATGTTTCAACATTTTTAAATATTGTCAGCCAAAAATCTGGGATGCCTTTAATATCCTCATTATCTACTCTAAAATGATTAAAAATCATTAATAGTATTTTTAATATTATAATGTTTATAAAAATTAATTTTGGAAATTCAGTTTTATATCCATATGCGTAAAATTTACAGAAATGTTGCAGTTCAATGTTTAAATATTTTCCAAATAATTTATATAAAAAACTGATTAAATAAAATTTAGTACAACAATTTTATAACTATAATAATATAAAATATTATAAGATTTATATTTAGATGATATTTTAAAAAGCTTCACTGATAAAATTGTTCTATAAACAATAGTTTCAATTTTTAATTTTTCTTAATATAGAAAGTGACTGAAATAAAAATTCAATTTAAACACTATAAAAGATAAATTTAAATAATGAACAACAATAAAAAATAAAAATTAAATAAACATAACACTTAAAGGAAATAAAATAGCCATACTCCTCTTTTTTTTGCTCTTTATCATCTTCAAGATTCACTTTTGTTTTCAAATCATTAGTTAATCCCTCTTCCTCGTCATCACTCTCCCATAGACATTGCTCATCCGTTGGTTCATAAATGCCAGATACTATTTCACTTCTTTTTTCATAAAGAGGGGCACACATTTTGTAATAAGCACATTCTAAAGCATGTACTTCTTCATAGAATTTTGCTTCAATATTGGTTGTAACCAATTGCAACTGTTTCAAAGCTTTAATTCTGCGTTTTACAGGAGCTGGAAGATTCTGCATTTGCTAAAAATTGGAAGTCCAACTTTAAATATCATAAATGTTAATTCTTGTTAATTTTGAATTCTATAAAATTTAAATTTATTGAGGTATGAAATACAATAGAAAACTTAAAAATGTTAATATCTTTTATGGCATAGATAATTAATTAAAATATAATTTTTCCACTATTTTGATTTAAATATTTAATATGCAGGTAAATGAAGAAATATCAATCTCTATTCTATTATAGTGCACAATTTGTAGCCTAAATTAATAATTAATTAATCAAGCATAAAATTTGGTAATTTATATAAGTAAGTATTACTTTAATATAAAAAAAAAGAAAGAGAAAAATGATAATAAAATTTTGATAAATAAGAAAACAAAATTACATGAATTCATTGAAGCAAATAATAATAAGGACACAGAAAAGTATATGTTTTAACTGCATAATGATAATATATTGTTAAATATTAAACAAATTTTTAATGCTACAATTTATGATTAAAAATAAGATCATCTATTAACACTTTATGTCAAAACTGCTTAAGACCTAAACCTACTGCATTCTTATACATATCTTGTAAATTAATTTTTCATACATTACTAATAATGCTAATATACATTTATAAAAATTAAATGAAACATACAAATCTTACTTTTTTTAGGAACAATTAAATATTAATACTACTACAACAATACAAGAATTATAAATAATTATTACAACCTTCTAATATATTATCTAATTGCTAATATTTTTAAATGAAACTTTCAAATTAAAATTTTAATATATTTTTTCTCATTAATTATGAAAAAGCAAAAAAACTGATTTTATTAATTTCTTGATCATTGATATCTGCTTCTAATTCACAATATGGAATTTGAATACCTCTATTCCAGATGTAATACGATCTTGTAGAGCAGCTAACATATCAGATCTATTTAAATTTCTGGAGAAAAGCTCTGGGGCTTTGTTATCATCCTCATCTTCTACAGATTCCATTTCACTATTATCACCAGCACGTTCAGGATCAGTTGTCATAGTACTATAATCTAGATTTATTTTTTCTTTTTTTGCAAGAAAAAAACACTTATATATATAATAGAAAAATAACTTTTTTTTAGGAAGAAATAATAAAATAACAATAAAAAGAGAAAATGTTTAAATATTAAAATAAACTAAAAAATTAAAACATTTTTCAAATAACAAACAGTATCTTTGCATTTTTATATAACTTACTTCAAGATTATTATTTTCATTAGCAGTATAAGAAATAATCTTTGATAACAAAATTTAATAATATATGTTTTATAAAAGTGAATTTTTTTATATAGTTTTTATACATTTAAAATAATGTAAATAATACAATTAAGTAATTTATATTTTATAAACAATATAAAATTGTAAAATAATTATTTTAGATGATATTATGATAGTTAATCTACAGAATTTCAAATATATATATATATTGCTAATGTATATGATTGTAATTAAAAAAATATAAAAAAGGTTTATATGTATACATATGTCCTTTTTTTAAAAAATATATGCAGTATTTTTAATAAAGTTAAGTTATAGAATATTACATAGTAATTAAACAAATATTTGATTGTTATAAGATGTAGGTCCACATGTATAAATATATATATTTAATATATGAATATATGTATATATATAAGTTTAACATCATACTAAAAATGTTGTGATATGTGCTTTATATTAATCGTTTCAGAAATATATTTCAATTAATTCGAGGTCGACGTATTCGTACTTTTTCATATAAAGGTAAAGAGGAGTAACATATAAAACAAAGAAAATGAATATACTGGACAAAATAATTAAATTTATATGTGCAAACATATAAAAATAAGAACGAAATATAAAAATTTTGAAAGTAAAGAACACAGCATACAGCAAAATTATTAATCGGCGATCGTGCTGAAATTTAATTGCACGTTGCGATATATTCTCTATTAAACGTGCATAATAGATATCGTAAATCTCGTCTATGTACACGTGTAAATAAAATATTTGTTCTCTGAGAACATTTATGTCTGATAAATTTTCTTAATTTAACTTGATTTTTGTATGATGAACTGACATTTGAAAGTCACCATATTCGAAAAGAAAAAAGGTTATTTTCTAGGGTACGAGAGACCGTGAAAAAAACGGAAATCACATTAATTCACCAACCTATTTAACGAATCAAACTACGTCACATTTATTATACTCTCGATCAATTCCTTCATCACATATTTAATAGAAAAGCATAGAATAGCTTAATTATTATAAAGTTTAACATCTGAACATAAAGAACGTGCACATGGACAAACGTAAAAAGCAACAATTTTTGGGGTTATAAATGCGTGAAAACTTAAAAAAACGAAATACAATTATTTTTAAGTGAAAGCGTCATTTTGAAACGTTTGAACGTTAAAATAAAAGCGTTAAAATTGCGAACAAACATACCTTTCGAGAGTGAAGCTGCTCACAAAAGAAGAACGGATCACAGAACGAACAACGAACCGGTCGTTGTGTCGGTACTTTCGCTGTAGTAAGTCGCACAATACGAAATTAGTTCCTCTTCTATCCTTTTTTATCTTTAGCAAGTATTGCCACTACATGATGTGAAAAATCCCTATCTCATTTTTTCAAATGCAGAGTTACTTACTTTTTAATGTATAAATATTAAAAAAAAAATAAACTTCCTCATTTCTTTAATGAAATATTTTATAAAATTTTGGTAAAAAATATCACTTTTTAGAAAAAATTAATTTCTTTAGGAAATTTGAATTTATGAAATATTAAAAAAAAATTAGTCGAAATGATTTTAAAATTATGACAAAATAAATTTGTAATTAAAAAATTGTAAATCTTCAATAATGATTTTAATTTTACAACTCTCTAAATTTTACATTCTAGAATAAATTTAATAAAATGTAAATACACCTTTATATGAGTAATTATGAAAAAAAATTTATTTCTTGTGAAATATTTGCTGCAAAAAATATAATTGTACAAAGTTTGAAAAATCGAAACTTTAACAAACTTTTATTTAAACTTTTCGTTTTATAATATATGACCTACAAATTTTAAACGAATCTGCGTTTTGATAAACGTTCCTTTGTTTTTTAAAGAAAAAAGACAAAATCTCGAATTTTTTTAAGTTTTCTTAATCCATTCAAGTTGGCAACACTAGCTTACTCTAGTTCCACTTCAGTTTATCGTTTATCTTGAAGAGCAATAAGATGGCGCAGTGACGTCACGTCCGTTCGGGACGAAAACGTAACGTAATTCGCTAACACGTTTTCTCCTATAACACCATTCCTTTAGGCTTGGCGCCTTCGTTAAATGCAGTGAGCGTCGGTGTACGTAAAATGGCGGACGGTGACATTGATTTGTACGCCGACGATCTCGAGCAAGATTTCGCGCAGGTAATTCGTTTTTATCATTGTTAATAAGTAACAAGTCGGTGGGTACACGTTGTTATTAATTGGCTACCTTTATAAAAAACATTCAAAACTGTGAGAAAAATGCGATAGTAGAGCGGGGTTGTTCGGCGTCATGGAGGATAGGTGGTAACGATTGCTCGAAAGCGGTGTCTGATTCTCGTTCAGGCGGAACATCAGTTTTAATATACATTTCATTCGTGATGAATAGTTGTTGTATTTGATTATCACAGCCAATGAAAACTTTCTGTATTTTGTTACATAATTACCGTGACTCGTGCACGTTCGGTTGCATCGGGATACTAAAAAGCAAATACGTGTAATACAGATTCACAGCAAGAAAAGCAAAATGGTGTTAGCGGTAAGGCAAATGTCGTAGCATTTTATTCCTCCATTTCATTTATCAGTTTAGTTTTAACAGACATTTTATTGCTGCATGCTAGACACCATTTTCTTTGTAAAGCATTTTTATTATTTTCATGACTTTTTACTTATTTCGCGTGTGATTTTTTTTTATATAACTTCAACTTGCAGCGAAGTGATTCGTAGTTATTTAGAAAACGAACTTTTTTCATTATATATATATAATATTAATGAGCGTCCATAAAACACATCTTTTTGGAAAAAATTAATGTTGTGGGCTATTTCTTTATCTCATGTATTTTAATTATACCATTTTTTTTTTATATAATTGCTTAGGTTTAAATAATTTATGTTTTCTAAGAATATTGAAATTCTTTTTAATACTTCAATATAAATGTTTTTTTAAAAGAGTACATCTGCTTAAAATTATTTATTTTGATATATTTGAATATTTATTGCAATACAATGGGAATTAAAAGTGTTAAAAGAATATGTGAAGAAAACATATTGCTATAAGTATAATTCATTAATTATTCTGTATTAAGGTTTTGAAAGATAGTTTATAAATTAAAATTTTTATTAATATATTAATACTTCCTTAGATTAAAGAAATATGGCTTTCGTAAATTTAATGTTTTTAATAGTACTAATCATTTTTTTTTGCACTTTATGACGATAAATCAAACTTTGTATACTTTATGATTTTAATAAATAATATCAATAAAATTATTTTTTCAATTTATTATTAATATACTAATTTGTGTAAATCTAATCCATTTGTAATTCTTTTGTTATCAATATATTTCATGTACTATGTAAATAAATGTCTGTGTGAAGAAAAATTAAATAATGACGTTATTTTCATTTATATAAATATTGAAATTGTATTTTATAGTGTAACTGATAAGAATTTTTATTTATGTTAATGTAATCAAATTATAATTAATTAACTAGGTGTTTTATAATAGTTATATGTAATTATGTATTGAATTTTTATGATACTCAATCTATTTATGATAAATTTGTAATCATTTGTTTTAGGATGAATTTGCTGGTGATGGTGTTGATTTGTATGATGATGTGATAGCAGCTCCAGCTGGTGGTAATGGTGGTGTTTCTACGGGAAACAGTGGAGATGGTGGAGGTGATACTACTTCACCAAATGAAGAAACAAACGGTAGTGCACCTTACCATCAACTTGGGAATAATATCCAACCAAATCAGATTGGAAGACGCCATCAACTATATGTTGGAAATTTGACTTGGGTAAATAATTGCACCTTTAATTTTGTTGTTTAATTTTTATTTTAAAGGTTTAAAAAAGTCTAAGTATCTAAAAAATTTATGAATAAATTTATGTTGTAGTGGACAAGTGATCAAGACATAACTGATGCAGTACAAAGTATTGGTGTATCAGATTTTGTTGAAGTCAAATTTTTTGAAAATCGAGCCAATGGACAATCTAAGGGTTTTTGTGTGATATCCCTGGGTTCAGAACAAAGTATGAGAATATGTATGGAAAGATTACCTAAAAAAGAATTGCATGGACAGAATCCAGTAGTAACATTTCCCACTAAACAAGCTTTGAATCAAGTAAGTATGGATAATTATATTATCTTCAAGTAACTACTTGCGGGAAAAAAATAATTGTCACTAAGAAGTTTATTTATATTTTATAATATTCTTTTTATAAGCTTTTAATCCGATAACTATAAATAAAATGTAATATTGAAATTAAAATTCTTTTTCTTTTTTTATAAATAAATGTCCACTTTTTAAAGAATCTATTTAGATGTTATTTATAAATACTGAACATGGATTCAAATTACAAGTTTAAGATTTTGTAGTAATGATAATAATGATAATAACTATATTATTATTCTGTGATATATTCTCATGCATTTATGGAATTTTAGTTGAATCTTTTTAAGGATTAGTTTCTTAAATAAATAATTTTATATACATAACACAAATAATTAACAATGTTAACATACATCATTAAGTTGTTAAGGAATTAATATTGTCTTTTAAGTAACTCCTTTTAATTAAAGAATATATTACTTATAATTAAACTGAACATGTCTATAACATTGATCATAAATATTAAAGAATTTATTAAAAAATATTGTTTTTAAAATTTTATATTTTTTCCTTTACTTCAAATTATATAAGTGTATCTTTTCTTGAGAAAAACAATGTGAATTTGTCTACGGCGTAATGGTTATTTCTTTTTCCCGTTATACAAACGAAACTTGACATTTTGTATATATGAAAATTCCGTATATGTTTTCAGTTTGAGTCTCAGTGTAAGACACGTCCAGCTCCTGCTCCCCAACAGAGTCAGAGTCAACGCCCCCATAATCCACATCAACATCAGCCACCAATGCCACCTCATCAACAGCACCCACAACATCCCCAACACCCTCAACATTCACAACAAAATCATGGTCCTAGGATGATGATGGGCCCTCCACAGGGTGTAAGACCACAGAGAATGCCACCTCCAGGCATGGGTCCACCAGGTCCAGGTGGGCCTGGGCAGCAAGGTCCACCACGTATGCACGGTCCACCAATGGGTCCTGGACCAGGACCACATCATCCTTTACCTGGTCATCCCAATCAAGGTCCACCACCTCCTGGTTATCAACAAGGGCCATGGAATGGACCAAGACCCAATGGTCCTCCTGGACCACCAAGAGGTCCAAGTGGACCTGGTGGTCCACCACAACAAGGGCCACCAGGACCAGGTCCTGGTCAACATCGACCTCCTGGAATGGTGTGTAATATATCTTTTGTTTTTATTATTAGGTATAATGGCATGAGATCTATCTTTTTATCTATAGTCACTTTTTGTTGTATTTTACTTTTTATTGAAATTTTACTTATCTTATTACAGTTTTTTATATGTAAAACTTATTTTAAAAATTCAGTAGTTCTTGTAGGTCATATTTGAAATATAATTCTTTATATAATTACATTAAATAGTTGAGTAAATAGAGTTTAATGCAATGTGAGAAGTAGAATTGACTATATTTTAATCATTTAGAGCTTTTTTTTTAATATAATTTAAAAAAAAGCAAATATTCGTAGAATATGTAATTATCTAATATCATTGCCTTATACATTTATTAAAGAAGATTTATTGTATTATTCTTAAGATAATATTTAAAATATTAATTACAAATTTCTGTTGAAGTTACTAATTTCTAGAATGTATGGTTTTATGATATATCTTACATGAATTGATACATTATTGTACAAATTACAAGAATATTTTTTGCACTTACATGTCTTACGCTCCGCGTAAACAGAGTTGCACTAGAGACCTTTCAGAAGCCAGTTACCATATACCACAGGTAACACATAATGTGTTGTTTTTCTTGCTTTTCACGTTGTAAAAATTATCCATTCTTCTAACTTTTCCAATATTCATTGTTTTTAAACACTCAAATTCAAATAGGTAGTATTAAAATTAATAAATATTAAATCTAAATTTTAATTTGTAGTTTTGCAGTGTTTAAGTACTTCATACTTAATTAAATTTGTTGCTGGAAAATTGTACTAATGATATTAGAAAAAATGATTATTCAAGTGTTATTTTTCAATATTCTCTAGTTCAATTATTTTTCTTTTAAATGAAATTATTTAATTCTTTTTTATATATCAACTTTCAGAGTTAAAAATAATATTTTAAGTTTCTTTTGGTATTAATATTGATAATAAATAAGTGTTGACTTGAAAGTTTACAATAACTACAGTGCATGAGATACATATAACATGAAAAGCTTTTCCAGAAATTAAATTAAATTAAAATAAATTAAAATAAACTATTTCATTTCATTTCAATCTATTTAATGGTTGATTAGGTTTTCCCAATACATTGAGAAATTTTTGATAGACTAATAACTGGCTCTGATACTGAAATACTTTGTCATTGTGTACAAAGTAGTTTAAAAAAATAAAATGAATAATAATTTTTTATTTATTAATTACTTTATCATGATTTGAGAATGCTGTTCAATAGTAACTCATGTTATTGATTTATGTCATTATTGATTAATTTTTTGTTATTTTTCAAGTATAAAAAGTGATTTTTTAATTTAATTATGGTAGATTGAAATAGAATCTTCGTTTGTCTCCATTCAGCAATTTCATGGTGGTCCACCTGGTCCACCTGGTCAAGGACCTCCACGTGGTCCACCTGGGCATCCTGGTGGACCTCCAGGTGATCCAAGAGGTGCCCAACCACGTCCTGAATGGAATAGACCACCAGGTTTGTTAAATATCATGATTCGTCATAGATTATATACTGAAACATCTTGGACTCAAATACTCTGTTTTTTCCTTCATTTCATGTATTATTGTGGTAAAATTCATTCTTTTTTTTTTACAACTAAGAGTCTGCATGATAGAGTAGATATGTAAAAATTATCAGAACTATGATACAAAACAAATATAAAGAACTTTAATAGACTACTTTAAATAACAAAGTATTGTATAATTAAATTATTGTAAAAAAAGCTCACTGATGAAATTATTCAATGTGCATAGGAATGCATCACGGGCCTCAGGGACCACCAGGTTTCCCTCAACATCAACATATGCAAGGTCCGCAACCTGGCCAAGGCCCACCACAGAGAGGACCTCCTCCAGGTTCTATGGGTGGTGAGAAATTTAGGATGTTCATTGAATATTAACAATATTGTTATTAATTTTTTCTTACAATATTGCATGATATTGAGGGAAATTTTATGTTTAGGAGTATGAAGGTACAAGGTGTTTCAGACAAAAGTAGTGTAAAATATAATTCGATTTTTTAAGTTATGATATCATTAAAAAGGTACACAATTTTACACATACTGTATAGAAAGTTGATTATTAATTTAACGATTGAAAATTAATGTACTCAAAAATTCTTATAAATAGATAATTACAAGGGGAAAAAATTAAATTTAGAAATATTTAAAGGATATTAAAAAATTAAAGATTTAAATATATGATTTATATATTTTTAAGAAATTATTAATATAATTTTATATATTCTCAAAGGAAAACATGGCAAAAATGTAAAAACAAAGAAAAAAATTATTATTGTTTATTTAAAGGACTTTTAATCCAGTATAAAAATATATTGAGGCATTGTGGTAGCATATCCTAAAGCAAATAACATAACTTATAAAATCAATAATAAGAACAACTATTTTATGTAATTAGAAACATTTTATAAGCTTGCTATATACATTGTTGCAAGCTAACATAGATATTGATCAGGAATGTTACCAGGTCCAGGAGGACCACCACCTGGCCATGGAGGCCCACCTCAAGGACCACCACAAGGGCCCCCAGGAGGGCCTGCTCCACATGTGAATCCAGCATTTTTCCCACAAGGACCACCTCATCAGCATCCAGGACAACATCCACCAGGTCCTCCTGGTCCACCTCATGGGCCACCTCATGGTCCACCACATGGTCCACCTCATGGTCCACCTCATGGACCTCCACATGGTCAGCCACATGGACCACCCCATGTCCCACCTCATGGCTATGGACCACCTGCAGCACAGGTAGATTGTATTTCATTTCAATTTTTTATTTTAATTTTTCATTATTATGGTTTAATATTAATTACATTATTATGATGTCATAATAACTAAGTTTTAGTTTATATAATTGCAAATAAGCTTATATAAGAATATTTTTTCAATAATATAACTTAATTTTCATAATTTGCAAAAGTTTTAGTGTGGTTATGCATATATGCTTATGCACAATGACAAAAGGTATAATAAAAGAATGAAAATAAGGAATATATAAGAGATAACTAATCATAAAAACGATAAAGTTCTTTAAAAATTATTACAAAATTTTGATAACTTTAATTTAACTAAAATTTGATAAGTTTTCAATAAAAATGAACCGTATATGTTATAGCCACCTTACGGTGCACCAGGACCTGATCACCGCCCAGAAGGTCCTCCTCCTCTTACAGAGCAAGAATTTGAAGAAATTATGGGCAGAAATAGAACTGTTTCTTCTTCTGCTATTGCTCGAGCAGTATCTGATGCTGCGGCAGGAGAATACGCAAGCGCCATAGAAACTTTAGTTACAGCCATTTCTTTGATAAAACAATCTAAGGTTGCTGCAGATGATAGATGTAAGATTTTAATCAGTTCTCTTCAAGACACTTTACGTGGTGTCGAGACCAAGAGCTACGGATCCGCACGTAGGGGTAAATTTCTTATATTAATTTTATTTTTTTGTTTTATTTAGACTAATTTTAAGAATGATGGAAATTTTACTTTATACCTTTTAGGAAAAAATAATTAGTACAATACATACTTTTAACTCTTTAACGACAGTTTTTTACATTTTGTGTTGTTTTATCAAAATTGAGATGTTAGTATATTTCGTACTGATAGAGAAATATGTCATTATATTTTATTAATTACTGTTTCTATTTATTACTTTTCTAACTTGTGCAATTTCTTTATCTTTCTATTAGTCTTTAGTTTTCATAGTTTTCTTTCATTTCTTTATGGTATTAGAAATTTTATCTTTGCCATATACTGTCTTTTTTTCATGTTTGTATCTATTTTCTATTATATTTTCTATATTTTCATTTTTCCTATTTTTCTTATATGGAATCAGATCTTTATAACAATTTAATTGTTAAATTTTCCTTCTATTATGATTATTGTTTTATTCTTCTTTTTTTTTTGTTCATTCTTTCTTTTTCCTTTTTTTATTCGTATTTAGTGATACGGTAGATATTGAAAAAACAAAGTAGCTGAAATGTAACTCAATTTAAAATTTTGTTTTGCAATGCTGACATAAAAGGGTGTAAATGAATAAATCAGATTATGTCTGTTTTATTATAAAAAGTAGTATGGTTTTCTTATTAATTAGTGTAAATCAATTATTTCAGAACGATCACGCTCACGCGATAGGGAACGTAGTCACAGAAGAAGACGTGAGCGGTCAAGGAGTCGCGACAGGGAATATAGAGAAAGAAGCAGGGACAGAGATAGAGAGCGTGACAGGGAACGCGATCGTGAAAGGGAGAGGGATCGTGATCGTGACAGAGAACGTTATTACAGTGAACCATATCCACGGGAGAGATCACGAAGCAGGGAGAGGGATCGTGAACGTGAAAGAGATCGGGAATATAGAGAGCGAAGCAGAGAAGAAAGGTAAGCTCAACATCTCATATAATTATTTTAACTGGATGTACCTCCTTATTTAATTCAGTCAAGAATTAACTGACAACTACAGCTTATAATTGACAGCCTTCGTAATGTTAGCTACGTATGCGTGTGATTTAGAAAAAAGAAAAACAAAACAAATACGATAAGTTTATATTTACATAAAATAATCCGATATTTACATTGTAACAAACTGTATAACTATATAATCTAGTAACATTTGTGATGGTAAAATAACGAGGTCGTAAAATTAACCGAATATACAGATGTATCAAATGTTAAAATAGTTACTTAAACGATTTTGTCAGAAATAAGAAGCTGTTCAGTACCATACGATGTCTGTTGTCATTGCTGCAAAAGTTGAAGTCTTTTTCAATATTGTTTAAAATTTATGGTCACACTATTAGTAGTGTGTAAATATTAGTAAATGAATTAAGTTAAAATTAAAAATTAATCGACAGTCTGTTGGATCTTACTGTTTTAAGTGCCTATGGCCCTAGGTATTGGCGACATTAATTGATTGTATCAGTAATTGATACTGACCGCCTGCTACTATCATTTACAATTTCGCTATTTAATCATCAGAAGTTATATATCATGTATCCAGTGAACGATTTACGTACAGCAAGCAATTTTTTTTTTTTTTTCGAAAACAGATATACCGTTATATCAACGATATTAACTTAAGTAAGATAAGTTTCATTGTTTGTACTATATATTTTTCAAACATTTCGAATTATGCTATATAGAATATTGTCTGCAGAATTCATCCGAAATGTTTGAGTTGAATGCTTATTTAAAATAGCAATAAAAATAGTACGAAATTTGATGAAAGTTCAAATAAACTAAATAATAAATATGACACTGTAATGAATGATATTTAGAAGAGAACGCGTTGATTTATGTGTTCAATTGTAAAATAGTTAATAACATATGTCTATTTAGACACTGAAATATTTAATTGGGATAAATTTAATTATTGTTAGATATTCATTATTACTTGTAATGTTTCTTCGCGTTTCCGTATTATCTGTATTAATTATTTAAAAAAAGAAATTCATTAAGATAAAGACTGTAGATAATTTTTACTCAGACATGTAATAATAATTTATAAGATTTAGAGCTTACAGTCTAGCATATATTAGTATTTATTAATGATACTAATTAAAATTAACTCTTTTGCTGTGGTGTAATTTCGAATGTGTATTTTATAATTGTTATTTACATATATTATAATTGAACAAGAAGAATTTTTAGTAATTAGTGTTGTTACATAGAATAATTTCGACTGAGTTAGTGATTGAAAGGGTGTTAACTCTAGTCGAGTAAAATTAATTGCTCATATTATTGGCAGCGACAGGGTTAAATAAAATTAACGTTATTTTGATACATTAATTGCCGCTAGATATTTTTATATTTTTAATTTTCATATTTTTATTATGAAGCTTTTTTTAACAATAATATGAAATGTATTAAACATTATTTGGATTTAAATATTAAATTTATTGACATGAAAACATTAGTATATTTTCTATTAGTAACTAAAATTTAATTTATAAGAGTAATTCAAAATATTGTTAATTTTCATATTTTATAAATCACATTAAAGACAGAAATACTTCAAAGAACAAAATATTCTTCTTAAAAATATTGTCAATTCCAAAATGAAAAAGTAACAATTAACGTATCAAATAAATAAATGTGTTTTACTGTTATAAGTATCAGATAGTTCAATAATATTTACTTCTTTCTTATATAATTTAAAGTTAGTAAATTTAATTTGCTAAAACAATGAATAAGCAATAATGAAATATATGTATATATATGTATATATATTGGAATAGTTTCATGATACTCTAAAACATAAAAAATGAACATTATTCATAAAACAATTAAATATCTTGACTTAGGTGCTTTGTGCCCTTATCACCTAATTTTGACAAGTATAAAAGTGACAAGCAAATTATAAATATTGGGCTTCAAAGGGTTATTACAATTCCTATGTTAACTGTAATTCATTCTGCATATTACTATAGAATTATAAATATAATATAAATTTTAATATTGAAAATATTTAAGTTTTAATAAGTTATTTCCATAGAAAAATGTTTAAAATGGTTACAGCATATGAAATAAGACAAATGTAATATAATATTTGAAGTTGCATATAACATGTTTTATGTTTTCAAATTTTAAGTTTAGTGAAATAAGTTTAAGGAGGTATTTTACTATAAAATATATTTTCTCTGGCCACCCTTAATATTTTTTGTAATGAAAGTATACAATTTAATTTGACAGTATATTTTTTGTTCACTATTACCAAATTTTTTAACGACTTTTCGTGGATTTCACGATGATTTCAGTCATTCTGTTTGTTTTAAATAAAAAAAATCAGAAAGATAGTTATAACAGTTATTAAAATGAAAAAAGAAGAAGACGATAATTAAGAAAATGCCGACACTTTGGAGTTACTACTTAGTACTACTAAAAAGGACTATTTTAAAAATATATTGCACTCTTTTGTGCCTAAAAAGATAGAAAAAAAAAAATATTATTTTAATTATAGTATATTTTAATTCAATTGGTTGGGATGATCTTGAAATATGAAAAATTCAAGAAACAGTTTTGAAAAAAAAGGTTAAAAATTTTTAATTCTTTAAGCATTTCTAAAAATGTAAAAAAATTGATTTCTTTTTTTTTTCTCAAAAGTTTACAGTGAAGTACCTCCCTAATACTGGAACAACTGAAATTTTCTTATAGGTATATCCTTTTATGACATAAAAAAAGTAATTATTGATGGTATTTTAATACATGTAAATAAAATACAAAATTTCCTTGAAATTAAAGCTGTAATTAGCAATAGTTATTGGGAAAGAGAATTAATTTCAGCAATAGGCCATCTTGAATAAGTTGGCTCTTCTAATGTTAAAAAATAATTGAGAAAATAAACTAATGAAAATACGTTACATAAGGAAATTAACAATTTAAAGATAATGACATTTTGTTATATATTTTTTAAAATTTTATTAAATTATTAATAAGAATATCAGTTGTACAATATCTAAAAATTACTTCGTGAATATTGGTTAACATAGGAATATGTTTATTTATTAATCATTATAAAATAAAAGAATAGAAAGTGATAGAAAACTACGTAAAGCAGGTACTTTTACGTACGTTTTGAAATAGTAAATTGCCCTCTTTTAAAATATCATATTAATAGTCTATAGATAATTACTACAAGTAATCACTACCGATTCTTGTTAGTTGTTATTTAAGAAAGTAATAGAGATCATTTTTGTTATAATACTTAGAGAAGTTTTAAATATTGCGTTCTCGATTTGTAAAGAATATAATATTTTAAGAACATTTATATATATATATTTTTTTCATATACATGTGTGTGTGTGTGTGCGTGCGTGTGCGCGTGTGTGTGTGTGCGTGCGTGTGTGTGTGTGTAATAATATAATAACTAAATAATATGATTAAAGTGATGCAACTAGAATAACAATTCTATTTGCGAATTGTAAATTTTGTTGTAACTTGTGCAAAATTTGACCATGTACTGAAATGACAATTGTAATTTTATTAACTATTTGTTCATTACTTTTGATTGATTTTGATTTGCTTCAATATATGTGACACTGAAGCTTCAGAGGTTAGATAGCCAATAATAAATGATAAATAAATTGTTCATAATTTCAATGATTGAAAAATGTGTAGATTAAGAAGAATTTCTGTTTATTTGTTAAATACAGAACACTTAGCACACATTTAAGAATTTGTTGGCATCTAAATCTTTATTCAATAAACAAATTATTTTTATTATAACATAATATTTAGTCTGTATGTGGGTGCACTTAATCAGAAAATGCGTCTGGATTACATTAATATATATGAATAAATAGTTAAAGGTTGAAGCTATATAATATTAGTTTTTCCAATATGTAACTAAACAATTTTGAGTGTAAAGAAATGTTAGCTTCTTCCTTAAGACAAGTCGTACAGTACATTTAATACAATTTTTTCCTCTTGTTCCTTCTGTGTAGTTGTAATTTTCGTTTCCAAGATTATCACTGGGAAAAGTATGTAAAAAATGTGCATACTTCTGTAGATATCGCTTTTTATTTAAAACATACTTCTATGTTTCATAGAATTATTATGAATGAAATTTTTGCTAAATGTATTTAGGATATAGTATGGAAATAAGTATTCAATTTATGAATTAGGTATAGTTTTGAATATTATAATTTATACATATTTTTAATTGTGCAGTACTGGTTGTTTTTTCAATTTGCTAAAATATTGTTATTCTTAAATGTTTTAATATCTATCATATTTTTCTTTTTAACCTGGCATTTTTATTTTACTAAAGTTATTATAAACAAAAAAGAATGCAATCGTTAATGTTAACAATAGTAAAGATTAATGGTTCATGAATTGAATTATAAATATTAAGTCAATTTTCACATACTGAACAATTTTTAAAATATGTGAAAAATGAATAGAAGTAATTTTTACTTTAGTCCTTAAATTAACAGATGCAAAATTATTATTGATGAAAGAATTACATGAAATTTATATTATGATGGAGTGTACAAATGTTTAGAACATATTATCTACATATTAAGGTGGTTAAAAACTTCTTCAGTTCATGTAACATATTAATATAAGATCTGCATTTATCTAGAGAGAGATTGTAATACCAGTTTTAGTATCAATATAATATATGTACAGATATTTTATATCAAAGTAATCTTAATCCTGAAACCATAAGAGCAAATGAAATATATGAAATGAACATAAGTTATTCTTTTTAGTTTTATTCTTTTTAGCCATTTCTGTGTTACTTTGATCATTCTAATATGGTTACAGGTTTAACGATGAACCCTGAAATTTTAAGTATGTGTGAGTGTTACACATTTACATGTACTTGGTAAATGTAGTTTGTAGTATCTGAAGTAACATATTATTACAATATTTTCTAATTTAATTTATACTTTCAATAGACAAATGCTAACAAAAGATTTTGTCTTTTAAATAAGTATTAAATTGTAGAATATGTTCACAATTTCATTTAAATTTTGCTCAAATGAGTGATCGTTAATGAATTATGGACACAGGGAAATTGAACATTTTTTTGTATAATTGCTCATTAGCTTGTTTTAACTAAAGCAACGTACTAAGCCTGGTAACAGTATAAGTCATAACAAAGTATGCATATTTTCCATTAGTACGACACGTCAGTCAGCCAGGCCAAGAGTAAAAGAAGAACCGCCAGAGACGGCTCCCGTCTCGTCTTCCAAGGCGTCTAGGTAATTTACACTTTTTTTTCATTAAAGCGAATGCATGTAGATTTTTTTTTACAAAAGTTCTATCTTGAAAAATGCGATACAGCAAATTAGAATTATTTTCCCAAAAAAATTTTATTCAGAATTATCATGTTGTTACGGTTCTGTTATTAGTTCTTTCGAGTAGGAACATTTTAGCGCTTAAATAAAAATTCAGGACTAAAAGAAGGAAAGAAGGGGGAAATGTATAAGAAATATTATGTTTCAACTTATTTTTGTTGTTTTTCACAAGCACATTATGATGAGAAAAGGTATTAAAGTTACAATTTTATTTAAAAAAAATCACACAAATTTAGTAAATCTTTTGTTTTTTATTTGTTAGAGACGTTTATTATAAATAAGAAAATTAGGTAACTGATGCAATATTGTTTCTAGTTTTCCTATGTTATTACGATTCCCTATTAAAATATTTATTTAATTATTGAAGTAATAAGAATCGTGTTTTATGCAGAACTTTCCCTATTTTCACAGTCAAAGCGAGTAAAAAAGTCATAAAGAATGAGAAAAGTAGGAAAAGTTAGAGAAACATATAGCGTTCAAAAAGTCTCTGAGTAAGTGTAGATACATTGAAAAGCAAAATAAGAATTTAGACAATTTTACAAAAAACAATAGTGTACACCGGTAAAGTAAGATAATTGGCTGACGTGACTTGTGTAGGTATTATGACGATCGCTACAGAGAGCGTGAACGAGACAGAGATCGAGAACGAGAGTCGAGCCGGAGACCATCAGAGAGAGAACGAGAACCGGAGCGTGAACGGGAACGAGAGCGAGAAAGAGATCGTCGTGACGAACGTGGAGACTCTTCGCATCGTTCGAGGCATTAAAAGCGATATCAAGCAGGAGAGAAAAAGGATTCTTGTTGAAAATCAAAGATAACAGGAAACAGAGAGACTAAAAATGAAAGGGGAAGACAATGAAGATGGTTGTGTAGCATACAGTGATCGCGGGATCTTACCGTTGACTTTTTTGCAAACTTCATCAAGAAACGGACCCAAGAGGATACACACACCTTTATCTCCTGAGGACACACGTCTATCTTCTGTATTTTGTCTGAATATCACAGTACCTCGATACTTTCTCGACTGATCAAGGAAACCGTTGGTTTTGGCATGACAAGAAATACGATGAATTTGAAATTAATTAGTTTTCGTATAAAATTGGTCTCGATTCCATTTGTGATTGATTTTGTATCTGGAAATTTAGAGCGCCTTTTAACACAAGCAGTTTAGTCTTTATTGAAGAATAAATAATCTGATAATTTATTTTACATTATGAACATCCTTGATTTTATCGATCGCAATTTTTATAATTGCATGCTTGTAAATTGGCTATATTAAAACATAAATGTCTATTTTTAGATGTACTTAAGACTATTTATTGGTATACGAAATATCTAAAAATAGAGAAACTTGGTCGGGAAAGTGTCGAAACCAATAATATTGGATACATATTTTACAAGCCTCTGTGTGAACTTTCGACAGAATTTTCGTCGCGAGCATTCTAACCGAGTTACCACGGGTTTTCACGGGGGTTTCTTAGTAACACGTTACGAAAAGTGATCGTAGAGATTTCCACGTACGGTTTCTTTTCGAGTCATTGATGGTGTTTTTTTCCTTTCTTTTCTCTTTTTACGCAGCGTACACTACTACAATATATTATTAAATATTATTACACTAATTACAAAACAAATGAAAAAATGAAGCGAATGAAAACGCATACCACATATGCATATTATACATATATATCTATGTAACATTTAAGCAAAGAGTATCTGTTTAGTTTTTGAGGCAGAGAGAAAGAGAGAGAGAGAGAGAGAGAGAGAGGGGGGGGAAAGAAAGAAATAGAATGAGAGAGGGAGGGAGAGTATGTGTTGTCAAAAAAGTGACAAAAATATGAATAATAACAACAACAACAAATTAACAAAGAGAAGTGACGAAAGCACAACGAAAGTCATGTTTCACGGAGAGTCGTGTTCAGTTGCGGTTTACAGAAAAGCTGAGGAAGAGGCTCCATACCTCCTGGTGAGCGGTGTTGTTGCTGACTACCCCGGGGAAGAATGAAGATTACACTCTGGACTTTCATCATCAGTCTTCTAGCTCCGCGACGATGCAAGATTGTATCTTAACTATAATACATATATACGCTTTCAAAAAAAAATATACGTGATAAACATGTCTTTACTTTATTCATCAGCACACACAATCTTCCTGATAAATATGTTATTTTTGTTTTCTGTGCTACTGCATTTCCAATTACTCGAAAGGTGGAACCGATTGAGAAAGAAACAAATCCGATTAGACACTTTCGATCCCCTTCTCCAATTAATTTATTTCTGTACTCTGGTGTTCGTAACAAGGTCCGGGGTCGAAAGTGTGTGGTAACAGAAGTGGAACGATATTTTACATGTTAAGTGAGCAATAATTATGTTCCCCGTTTTGTTCCATGACGCTAGTCTCATCCATGAAATAAAAGAAAAATGAATATCAGAGCTATTACTTGCTCTGATAGTCGAATACTTCAAGACTAATGTATCAAAAATACCTAAGTCGTCGGTTAACGTTAAATATAGAAAGGAAATAATTCAACATTGTTGGTCAAAACTGTGTAGTAATTGTGTAATAACACATTTCCTCTGGCGAATTTAATTAATATTATATTGTATAAATATACAGGCATTATATTTAAGGAAAAAGCAATATTTATTAGTCGTTGAGCATAATACTAAAAAATTACGTAATATCGCTGTAATTTTATCTATTAATTATTGATGGTAGATAAGCATAGATATTTTAAACTTACGAACTTGGGTAATTTTGGAAAATTAGTTTTTAGATAGAATGTCATCTTATTTTTCACTGTTTAATTGAGATGCCATAGAAGTCTTTTATAATAATGCACATCATTGTGAAAGCGCAACATGTTCACGGAACAATTTTGTTCAAATCGTCAAAAAAGTTCCTGTACTTTTTGCAAGAGGAAAAAAGATTTTCTTTTCTCTGCGCTCTTAGAGCGTGTATACATTAATCCTCGTGTAATCAAGGTTTATGTAATTAAGCTCCTTACGAAGAATTGCATTCGTTTTGTACTCAGAAATGTGGAATTAAATGTATATAAAGATATCATAAATATGGTATGTATTACATTAGACGTGACGTACATATTTCGAAAATATGTAACACTTAAGATAGTGATACTATGATATTTTCTATCCTTGATTGTACAAGGATTGGAAATTAGAAAATTAGTATTCGTACAGTAGTAGAAACTCTTTCATATTTAGGTAGTGAAAGATCGGTACTACTGTATTTTTCTACGCTCAGCATGTTTTAAGATTGAATGTTCCTTTTCCTTATATTTAATCTTCATTTCTATAAACTTCCTTTGATATAAAACGAGAACATATCACCTTTCGATCTATTTCTTAGTTACACATTATATGTATTATTTTTTAAGCAACGTATTATCTGGTCGTTACAATTAAATGTAAAGCAAGCTACAAGGTTGTAAAAAGAAATATTGCAAATACTTCTCGCGCATGAAGGAGTTGAGAATAGTTGAAAGAAATCACGAATATAAATGCATTCATCCTTCCCGAGGGAAGAAATTATCAAAAGTAAGCGTGAACGGTTCACCTTTCGAAGGAATTTTTCATCAGACACATTGAAACAAACGTTGATAAACGTAATTATTGTTCTGTGAGATCAAGCTGTACATGTTAATTCTTATTGTATCACATAGCTGTTCATTACTTTAACAGAACCCTTTACGGTCCCCTTTTATGTATAACGGAGACACCTTCAATTTACAAAATCACTTGTTTATGTGACAATTTGCAACACATTAATCTTATTTTGTATTCTTGATATACTTTTAACCGGAAGCATCATTTTTTAGAGAAGATGAAAAGGGAAGAGGACCGCAAAGGGCTGAGCGTCTGATACCTTTTAAAAAGTGCCAAGAAACAGATGATGGACTCTCACAGAGCACAATACAAGATAGTTAATCCTCTGTCGTACAACAAAAAAGAAAATCCCGATAAACTTTTATGTTATAACACACGAGACTGATTTGCATGATAACACGTACACGCGCACACACACACCCATGCACACGCACACAGATACACACACATGTGTCTCGTGAAGAATTGTTTTGATGTGCCATTTTGAAGTACTATAGTTATCTCGATCATGCAGTTAGAAATAAGACATTGCTGGATCGAGCATGACCAACTCATAGTCCAATTGTTTGAGTTTATTCATGCCTTAATCCTTTGCGATTCAATGGTTCTTCAATTCTGAATTTAGGTAATTTTTATTTGTAAGAGTATCTATTGTTGTCGTGTTCATTAATCATAATTTGTCAGATGTATTTCTTATGAGATTAGAATTGAAACATGTCTGTTACTTGAATTCTTACTAAAATGATTCATATAACATTAATTCCATAACTTAATTATATAATTATATATAATGTTTTATTTTACAAAATTAGGATAGGACTTTTTTATATGATAATTTTGTAAAATTAAGCAAATATGTTGCTCAAAATGATTGGAACATAGTGTTTATGAATATAGAATTTGTGATCTTAAATATACATTATAATTATAATATTGACTGAAAAGTAAGGTTTTGGTAGAGCTATACATTTGATGGAAAATGTTACAATAACATCAGACTTGAAAGATACGTAAAATTCATAAACAATAATTTATAATTTTATAAACACAATTAATATTTAAATAATAGATTGAAACAAAAATATATCTTTGTTCGCCTAACGAAAGCTTTATTACATTTCTGTTTTCAACAATAATAGTTTTGAAAACGTTGCATTTATTTTGCGAGATATATATAATATCCAACTACAAAGAATGATAATTAGCATTAAAATAAATGTATTAAAAAATGGCATCGCAAAGGATTAACACAAAATATTTTTCTTCGCTGTTATTTATCTATATAACTTCAAATTCAAGCTTTTTGCAACGATAAATTTGCAGCACTTTACTTGCTGTTATGATTGGATTAAATTTTTTAAGTAATATATTAACAATTCGACTATAAGTAGCTTTGGAGAAATCGAATGTATAAATCGTAGTTCGTAAAAAAATCTTCGAACTGTACACATGCTGCAACAAAAGTTTGCATTTCCTGGATTTGTTAGCACCCTGTGTGCGAACTTTTTTATGTATAGATTTTTTCACTGCGATTCACCAACCAGAAAGATATGTCACTGTAGTTTAGTGATTTCGTTTTCGATCCTTATTTTATGTTTAACGATTATTTTTCGAAATATGACAAAAACATGTTGCTTCATTCTGTTTAAAAGAGACGAAAATTTTTACTTTTGCTTTAGCAGATCCCAATATAATTTTGTCAAAGCTTTTAGACAATCGAAAAAATTATAATATTTTTCCTTTCATTTCCGATTCAAAAAAAGACTGCATTACATTCTTGTATTATAAATGTGCGATAAATATTTTTTTTGTGCTAATAATAAGAATTGTCCATTTAAAGCGCAATTTTAAAGTTACAGGTAAGGTTACTCGAATTTAAAATCAGAGATATTTGCATTTTCAATGTATTTTTAACTTCTTAATTTTATAATTTCATTTGTACGAAAAAGATATTATTAAACAAAAAAATGGACAATTGTTTATAAAGGAAGATTGTTTCTGATGTTGTTTTGTTTTTTTTTGTTTTCTTTTTTTTTTTTAATGATTCATCATATATAAGTCTGTTGCTTGTAACAATTACACCAGAAAGTATTCATTGGTCTTAATTGTAGTTGCGTTTTAAATGAAGAATTCTGTACTTGTTTTTTATCGAGAGTACAAAGAGCTGTGAGATCTTTTTAACTGTAGCTTTATTTTTTAATGATTTATATTTAACAACACACGACAGTCTATTTATAGAGATAATATTTTGTTAATAGGGGACTTGGTCGATTGACGAAGTGATATATAGGATTATATGGACAAGTATATAATAGAACATATAAAAGTATAGTTTCAATTTTCGAAACATAAAGCGCTTTGTACTGAATAGTATTATTATAAAGAACTATTATAGTTCTATATAAAGATATCAAATAATGCGATTATTATCAAGGAAATTTTATAAAGCAAAAAAACTAAAGTCATTTTCTGTCAAACTACATAAAAATTTGTTAGTATTTAATAATCTTAACAAAAACCGTCGAGAATTTTGTGTAATGTCGGGAGAGCATTATAAATCTAATGACATTTTTTGTAAGTATTATAATAGCATAGTTAAGATTATGCAATGAAATGCATGGAACTTTCAGTATTTAACATTCCATACCGTTATTTTTTTTTCTTCAGTTTACTTAGAATTAAAGCTATAATATGAAAAAAATGTTCATTTTAGTTGATAAATATTACAAAATTGTAAACTTATAATTAATTCTTATCAGTAATTGGAAATGAAATAAATTGGTGTTCAAGAAGGAAAAAAGAAAAAAAAATACATATATATATTTTGAGTGGCATACATAAATATATGTATATATATATATATATATATTATAAAACTTACAATTTTTCAATGCACTGCAATTTTCAAAATCGGTAGACGTTTTTATATTCTGTATGAAATTATACAGTTCTGTTAAATTATCAATGTTTATAAATTTTTTAGAGTACTTAGAAAAATGCAAACCACTAAAAAGATAACAAAGGTATGAAATATATCATGTATATATTACGAACTTTCTTCTGTGATCTCGCAAAAGCGCTAAAGAAATATTAAAATGTACACGTAGTATCGAAAAGTTCTAAAGAAAATCAGATATTCATTACTCTGATAATTTTTTATGAAGCAAAAAATTGGAAACGAACAAAGCTATCCTATGTTAATATTATACAAGCTTTTGTTTTTGAAATAGAAAAAGTAATGAAAAACAGAATAATAAAAGACAAATGGTAGGAATAAGTCACTTACTAATAATCATAATTTATTTAAATTCGCCAAACATTGAAATATAATACGCATATTTAGTGAACATAATTTACTTTCCAAATGTGCCGCGCATGGCGCCCTTTGCACAATAATTGCTCGTTACGATTATTTCCTTATACGCATATATATATATAGCATGTGATTTTGTTGTATAACGTACTATTTAAACCAGTTCATATTTTATTAAGTCAGAAATAGAGATTGCCTGGAGAAATGTATATGGAGTTAAGGGGTAAGTGTATATATCACAGAATACAGCTTCAAAACTCGATACCTGCTGGATCACTTTGTTTATCAATAGAGTACATTTATATATACATATATGTACTTTCAGACGATACACGAGCTAAAATTTTGTTTAAACATCTATATGTTACCCTGGTCTTCTTGAATATAGTGTACCAAGTAATTAATTGCTTTAATTGTATAAGCAGGTACAATTAGACCTAGCAAAATCGAAGTAACATTCGAGAATTCAAGTTACTAACATGTTAAATATCTAGAAGGTGAACAAAATTTTTTAAAAACATTTAATATTAATTATATAATCTATAATATTGAAAGAAGAAAATGATGAATTTATTTATTTTAAATTATTGCATTTTAATTAACATGCTAGTTTCTACGAATCCTCGAAACTAGATTTTACGAATGTTCAAATTTCATCTTGAATTGATATTTAAAGATAAAAAATAAAAAACAATGAGTGAAAAACTGAAATTTGAGCATCGTTTTATGTTGATGATGATGGTAATTATAAAGAAATATTGTACGATTTATTAAGATCGAAATCTTTTGTGTTCTTCGTTATATATCGGTAAATTTGCCGTTTTGTATTTTCGAGACACGAATTTTACAAATTCTAGTCACTTGTGCCTTTGTCAAATCGAACAATCTTTTCGATTTTTAAATTCGAAATTTATACAAGTCGTTACGAAAAATTTAGTACTGTTTCTTATGCGCTTTTAAGTCGAATACTTTGTACAAAATGTTTTTATGAAACGTAACGATTATTCAACAATTAAGATTAATTGCATTCTATGCAATTATGGCAATTATTATTTTATTTATGTTATAAAACAGAAAATGAAAAAAATACTTTGCAAAATTTTACGCAATATATAAAAGTAGTATATTAGAATAAATCGATGAAATCGATATATAAATATATATATGTGTATAATATAAAATAAATATAATTCATATTTTATATTATATACAAATACTTAAAAAAAAAAATATTTCTAATTTGCATTAGATTCGTTGCATTGTATTTTGCACACACTAAAAACTATAAATCATTATCGAAGTTGTAACATTATAATAGGCTTAAGTATTGCGTGACAAAAAAAAGTTGTTACCTATCTAGTCAATTATGATCGCACTTACAAAAATCGATATTCCAATACCGTAATGTATTGATCGATATAAATGTGCTTTCAAATTGAAAACAGAATTACACTTTTTGCGTGACAAATTTATTCAGCGTGGAAAGAGAAAAGTATGCATTATTTGTTATAAACAACAAATTACGTTTTTCATTGTAATTCGAAATATTCAACAATATTTTGGCTCGTTACCGTAGGATAAGAAATTTTAAATCACGTTATGCAGATTGAGGCATCATTACCAAATCTGAATTTTTATCATTTACTTGTTTACAAACTCGTTATTTTTACTTTCAAAAGACTTGTGTAATAGTTAGAGGAAAAGATGAAAAAGTCATTTTTGTGTGCATATTACTAATACTTCAACATTTGAAACAGTCATACGGTTGAGAATGCAAAATAGGATTATTTATGCAAAAAAGTCTTTCAGTATCCCTTGAAATTATAATTTATATTAACTTTAACATAAATTCCTAAAACAATTCAATTAATTTCCTCTGTGTGCTTTATTTTGTTTCTTTTTCGAATTATGATACTGATTACAGTGTAGTAAACGTATATTTCCGACGACTTTTTGGGTCGAGGTTATGTGTAATTAAAGTCGCTCCATCCGTTCGTTCTTGAACGATTGAACACATAATGCACCCTCTGATTTTTCTGCTTTTATTCAGTAAAAGAAAATAAGTATTAAATATAAAAGTATAATTAGTGTATTATTTTGATTATTTAAATATTGTTAAACAAAATTTTTTTATTATTCGAAGTATTTGTTATGAACTAAATATTTTATGTACATTAATTTATGTTTATTCTTTATTCGCATATCTTATTTTTCTGTTTCTAAGTAACCATTGTTTTGTTATTCATTACTTATTATTACTTTTTTCTTTTCCAATAACAAATATGAAATTATTTATAATTTAATAAACTGTGTTTGATCAGGTATAAAAATAAGTAGGATCCAACACACAATATCAAAAATATAATACCAATTTGATATAATATGAAAAAATGTAAGTAAGGAATCATTAATTGTATCAGGAGAGTATTGAAATGGTTTGTACTAAAAAATAATTAGTCAATTATTAGGAAATTGAGTAATGTAGTAATATGAACGAAATATAGGCCAAAGTTCGTCATTAATGACCAAGTAACTGATGTAGTAATAAAAGAAATTAATATTTATGTACATATAATGCTATTATGATCGTCGCTCAAAGTATATAATTAATGCTCAAATGATATAAACCTTTGATATCGTATTTTATATTTAATGTGGGAAATGTATTATAAGACTGATTTTATTTATTTAATCTATGCAAGAGTAAATCATTTCCCATCTTTAATTTTACAAAGTTTAAAAGAATATTTAAGACTGCTAGAATACAAACAAAACAAGTCCTTTGAAACAATAATTCATATGATCTTTTAGATTGCACACATTTCGAATGCCTCATACTGTATAAATTTTTTCGAATTAAATAATAAATATGTTAAATAAGGTAAGTGTTGAACTGCAATTAGAATCCTTTAATTATATTGCATATGTAATTGATCATCAAAGGTACAAATTACGATACATATACAGATATAAAATAATATATTATTTTCTAAAGTCGAATTAAATTTTTAAAAACATGACAGTTGATAAAAATGGTGAATTATTTAATTCGTAAAATTATTTTAATTTTGTTATAAATTAAGAAATATAATTTTATTTACTATATAAGAACTTCACTTAGTTTTTCCCATGTATTTCTAATATACAAACACTAGTTTTTATTGTAATTTTTATCATTTTTCTATATAAACAAAGTTATACTTGACAAAACTTTTACAGTCTGGCCAAAGATGATTTAGTTTAATTTTAATTTCATTGTTAAGTCGTAAGATTTATCTGTGATAACAATTTGTATTTCGACAATAAATTTATAATTATGCTTACAGAAGCACATACAAACAAATTTTTTAAAGACTAGATATATAGTGTCCAACTTTACCTTTTGAAAATCATTTTAACAAATCTTGTAACCAGATTTATTTATGTTCGTACATGTATAATTAGGAATGAAGGGTACAGGCTGTAAGTTTCTTTTCTATTATACAATTTACGTGATAAGCGTGACCGCAATCAAATATTGCGATTCCATTGTTACCTAATAGAACCGGTGTTTGAAGGGACAACGTGCAGCAAGGACATGTAGATAATTTATTCTGATAATTCATTCCCCAATGATGCGGTCCATTCTCGAAAATATTTTTATTAATTGGTTGACTTAAATCTTTTTCAAGAACTTTAACCAATTGATTTTGAATCTGAAAAAAAATATGAAGTATTTGTATAATTGTTGGACAATGTAAAATTTAAAATAATATACAGGAAGTTCACAAATTAGTTAAAATTATTGTAGTTTAAAATTGATATTGTTATGTATCTTATATTTATCTTTTGTTCAAAATGGTGATATTTAAATTTGGCAGTTTTTTTTATAAATTGTGAAATGATTGACTTATACCTCTGTACATATATAAAATAAATATCTATATTTCAGATGTTTATGGCTATCATTTGATGATGGTAAATTTCAATTTTACATTTTTAGAAATTACTATCTTATTAAATATTATTTTATATTATTCATTCTTCAATAAAAAGAAAATTGAGTCCATAATGTATAGAATAAGGAAAATTCCTATCTATAACAAATACTGTCTTTAATAAAACTGAATTTTTATAAATAATCTTTAATTTTTTTTTATTTAGTTAAAATGATAAAAAAGATAACGAAAGTTTAATATTTTTATATTGAATAAATAAAATGGTTAGTTAGATTAAGATTCACTTCCAATATATTTTTTGTTCATTAAAACTTAAAAATAACAATTACCTGAGTAGAACATATTGTATTATATTGAGATGATTCCATATTACTTTTGTTAAAATTTATAGTACACTTCATTCCATGTCGATATATTAGCTTTGTAAATATTAATGATTGAAATATACTACAACAAATTAAAATCAATATAAAAGCATCCATAATCAAACATTTTTAGGTCGTTTTACATTTAAATATCTAGAAAAATAAAACTAACCTTATATCAATAGGTACATTAGAAATAGCTTTTTCTAACTTTATTAGTAGTGTCATGGCAATGTCAGGTCCCTGTCTTTTTATGATTTCATATATCACAACAGTCCAGTTTATCGATTCTTCGCGATTTCCCTTTTTTATAGACTTTCCACAGAACAAACACTGTCCCTCTTGTATTTCTTTTGCATATGTTGCTACAGTCTTCCAGTGATTTCCATCCAATAAAGGTAAAAGAATGGAAAGTACAATATTATCTCTAGTTTGAAGACATTGACGCAGTATATCATTCATTAGTATACCATGTCGTTCTGTGTATAGTGGCAAATAGTCTCGCCACATATAAGGTACTTTGTTACATAAATTTATACATTCTTCCTTATTTTCATTTAGCATTTTTTTAAGAAGGGCTGTACCAAACCCCAGGAACTTTGGTTCTGATAGTTCATCAGTTGGGTATGGATTACTACAGGTACATCTTCTACAATTTTGAGCATTCACATTAATAAAAGCTTTCATTATTTGTTTAATAATATTTTCATTATCTGTAGATTGTATCAGTTGTATTGAAATATTTTCTAGTAGAGCATTAAAATAATATAGTTCTACACTTCTTAATACTTCATATAAGAAGTTTTTTAATTCAACTAAGTTTTCATATGAGTCTTTAATAACATCCATTTTCCAATCTATATCCAAAATTATTTTTTCTAATTCTTCTTCGTCCATTGAAGACTTAATATTACTGACTAATGCATATATAGCTTCCAGATCTACTTGTATTTTATGTGTTACATTTTTGTTTGAATTCAGCTCTTCTTTGGTTACTGATAACTCCGCATTTTGTGCTACTACTATTTCTTTTGCTGTATTGCAATTTGTATCTTCATCCTCTATCACTTTATTATCAAAATCATTTAATAAATTGGTTGATGTTTCTTTCTCTGCCTCTAATTCGGTTTCAAAAAGATTTTCATTATTTTGCAGAGAACAATGAGATGCTGAATGAAATATACAATTTTCCTCGCCTTTTAGGCTTGACTTTCCATAATTAACGACTACGATACCCGAATCTAACTTTTTTGGAGTTATCTTTAAATTAGATTCTAGTAACATTATTAAAGGATACAATAACGTTGATAACTCGTCATCTCTAAATATTTGCAACTTAATCTCTATATCACAAATATTATTAATTTTAGTATTATTTACTACTTTCTTTAATTGTACTTTATACATGAGGCATATTTCTAAACATTCATAATATTTTTTCTTATTATATAGTTGTAATATTAAAGAATCTAAGGAACATAAAACTAAACAGTGGAATTCCCCACCAGAAGTCATCAAATATATCTTGTTCTCTATAGTTTCTACAAAACTTATATTTGAAAATTCATTATTCCATAGCACTACAGTTGCAGTTATAGGATCAATGATATATAGGCCAGTAGAAGTATATGAAAATAAATACTTCTTTGCTATGACAAATAGATGGGAAAAATTAATAGACTGTGGCAACCAAGTTTGTTCTGTGTGCTTTTGATAATTGGATTTTCTAATATTTGGTTTACATATTGTTGTAGGTGCAATCGCAAGCGCTTCTTTAAACTGATGAGTTTTTATCACAGTTCCATTTGCAGCTACTTCCCAAAGCCTAGATCCTGGTCGAGAACAAAAGATTTGAGGAAAATTTTCCTCTTGCACCTTACTATTAGCCTCAGCAATGAAATTAAAAAAACCTTTTTTATTGACTAACTTTCCTTCTTTTTGGTTAATTGGAGCACTCTTATTTTCTGTAGGATATGTTTTATAAAAACAAGCACCAAATTCTCCATTTCGTGCTTTATTTCCGACTTGCTTATATTGTTCTTGTATTGTATCACATATGTAACATCGAGTCAATGTTGACACCAATAGCAAAGGTGATGAAAAAGTAAGTTGTACAATGGATGAATCTAAATTCATTAGGGTACAGGCTGGTGCTTGAAAGATACCATTAACCTGAAACATTACACAAATAAAAATCTAGAAGTACCTGTATATTTAACATTTTTCTTTAATTTTTCTCAGGATATATTAACAGATTTTGATCATTTAGTTATAATATTTATAATCTTTATTCAAAAATAGATGTTACAACTTCTTCAAAGATGAGAATAATATTTTACCGTAAAAATAGATAGCACAATAACAGAAACCCGTCCATTTCCATCTCCAACATAAATTTCACAGCTATTATCATTCCAACAAAGACAGTTAATATTTTTGCGAACATATTCAGTTGATATGGCTATTAATTTTAACACTGGTTTTAAGGCTACCAGACAAATTATACCACGAGTTGTTGTTAAGGCTATTGTTTTCTCATCGGGTGATATGAGAATACGGGACACTATGCCTTCCTGTTATTACAGACATATTAATTAAAAATTATTTTTTTAGTCATTTTTTACGCAGGATTTATAGAAATTATTTAACTTCTTACTGTAGAAAATTAAATAAAATTTAAGTACCGATAAGGGTATCAATTGTATGAAGGAGCATGGTTTCCTTGAGAATAAATAAATACTGCCACTAGTTGAACCCAATATAATATAGCTGGGGGATATGTTGAAACATGTATACTGGAATATAATAAAATAAATATTAACAAGTTAAAAATTATTTCCAAATTTTATTTTTAAAGCATGACATATTATTTGAAAAAAATGATAAGGAAATATTTTTATATTTCATTTAAATCAAGTTACTATAAAATTATTATAATATATTGCAAAAAAATATTTATTTTGATTAATTTTTATTATAATTAGAATTTATTGCATAGAAAATTATGAATGACAAATAAATTTTAAAGTTGGACACATTTTATTTACGCAATTTCAAATAGTAATTTAATATATTATGCGCGTTATCGAACAATAAATTAAACGGGTGCATGCATAAGTATAGTGGGTCAACAGAAGTATAATCAATAAAAGCATCATGAATATTGTGAAAAGAGATAACGTCTCTTACACAATGTGTTATTGTTGCATAAGAATTATTTCTTAGCGCTAAAGAAATACCTTGATTCGTTGAGTTGAATTGATAGGCTTATAAAGAAGAGGATTTATTTCCTCGTACTCTGATAACACATAAGAAAATTCCTGCATAGTCCATAAAAGTCTTGTGTATAATTTTTTATTAAACACCTATACTTATTGCACACAGATAACTAATCGTGATAAACTACAATAAAATTTTGACATATGCACACGAATCACTATATTTCATATTCAAGATACATCTGTTGGAGCATCGAACGTTTTCACATAGAGGGACATTCTTACTATTTAAAGTACCTGTGCTGAACAGTGGTTCTCAATATTTTTATTATAAATTCAATTTTTATTTCTTTTCCATTGTTTCAGTATTATAGATATTCCTTACAATAAGTTTTTACTATCGATTACTTAAAATAAGATTATTAAAATGTAAAAAAGGAAGTTTACAAAAATAGTGTAACATTAACTTCACGTAGAAAAGGTTGGTTTCTTAAATTTTCTGGGAAAGTAATTATTTTATAAAATACAGTATGATTATACTAAAGGATAAGATCCTAATATGATTTGCTTATGTAACTTGATCATTTAATATTTTCCATAAAATAGAATATTCAATACTAATAATTTACTATTTCTGTACAAAATTATGTCCAAGTCAATATTTTCGTAATTGAAAAAATATTTGATTTTTGATATCATACAAATGTATGTATACTGATTGTCACAAGTTATGAAATTTGATAAATAGGTTATCTTTTTCCTTTGTCATTACCAATATTTTTGTGCATTAATATTGTCATTAATTCGTGCTTTTTGTGAAGGCTGATAAAGATGTTTTTGTATATCCTTAATCGCAGAAGGTTTTATGAGATTTTCCATGCTGTCTTCTATCATAAAATATTCATAATCTTCATTTTTCTTCGTATATACTTTCAAAAGTTGTTCGTTTCTTTTTCCACCATAAACAGGACGAATTGTTGCTTTATGTTTTTCACCCTGCAATTTTTATTGAATTATTAACGACAATATTAACATTGAAATAGTTTTCTATCATACAAAATAAGTTCATTTTTTGTTTACGTATTTTCATATCTATTTGTTCACTTTTATATATGATACTTTTTTGATAACGAAACATTTTTATTATTGTATTATTAAAATTGATAAAAGATAAAGTCATAAATTATATGATAATAAAAATTTACTATTATTATAAAAATATCAATAAGTTTGAAAATTTAAAGAAAAAATAAATTTGAGATTTAATAATTATTATTCAAATAATTTGATATAGATGTTTCTTTTCGTACAGAAAATTATGAATATATAATATAATATAATGGTTAATAATATATCTTATATAATTAAAAAAGTAAAATATTTAATTACTTTACCTGTTCAAAATTTTCATCTTCACGATCGTGATATATGATTGCTTGAAATGAGGAAGCTTTTGATAATTTTTTACCATTTTTCCAATCAAACTTCTTTGGCTTTTCGAATAAATGGTCACAGGACATAAATTGTTGAGGTCTTTCCTTATTTCCTGATTTTTTCCATTTTATTACAGATCCAAAGAGATCCTTGAAAGATTTGTTTCTATTGAGTGTCTTTTTAAAATTGCCATGAAACATTCCTTTTTTTGAATTTCCTCCTATTTTTAGATTTGTAAATATATTTTCTAACGTGTTTCCTTTTAAATCATTTTCGTTACTTTTTAAAAAATAAGAATTTACAATGTCTGTTCGATTTTGTAACTCGACTAAATGTCGATTAGGCTCGAAAGAAGAGAAATCGTGACGTTTCTCTCTCTCGTTTTTATTTTGTGTACCAATGTGCCTTTTTGAATAAGACTGTGAATAATTTTCTCTATAGTACTTTGTATTTCGTTGTTCATTTATTTTAAAATCTCTTCCTATTTTATCTGAAATTTCAGTTACTGATTTCCTTGAATTGCTACTTTCAACATACTTATAATTTTCTGGCGAAAATTTTGTTTTTGGTATAATGTTTGAAAATACAGACACTTGATTTCTAGCAAACACTTTCGATTCAGCACTTCGTTCCTGTCCACAATTTTGTGAAGATATTTTATTCAATTCTACATTCGGAAATGGAACTTTTACTCCAAATTTTCTTATTCTCTCCGGAGTCTGAAGTTTTTGATCAAACGAGTAATCAGAATTTGGATTAGAGTAGTCATTTCTTTTGTAGTATTTTGAAAAAAATTCATCGTCTGCCTTGCACACTTCATTTTTTCTCTCCAAAGAAGCAATTAATTTCTTTATGAAATTTCGAGATTTGCGTGTAGACTGTACTTCTTTATGGTCACAAAATGAATCTTTCGTAAAATATTCTTCTTCTTTAAAGTCCTTAAAAGTGTAGGTTCTATATCTATTTTCGATCAAAACAGAATTTTCTTGAAATTTTTCTTTATTGTTTACAACGTTGTCCACAATGTTTGACATAGATTTCGAATGACTACTTCTTGATCGCAATGCCATATTAATTACTAATTTTTCTATTTAAATGTTAAGTGGTACATACACAATTTAATTCGGTAGATTTTTGTAATTTCTTGAGTTTCTATACCATGCGGGATTTGTTAGGTATGTATCGACGCTTAGAACTGTAATGGTATAGTCAATAATTTGGTATTTCTCACTTGGTTAGGTGATGAATACAGTAAAGGTCAAGCACCTATGTACTTCAAAATTGACAGGTTCATTGTTGCCTTACAAGTTAGGCGTGAGTATGCGGAGTTTATCAAAATAGAAAATGTTTATAAATTATCAAATTTATTATTAATAACAAATTGTTTATCACATAAATTGATAATGAAAGTGAAAAAATTAATAAATAATGGCTATTACTTGAACTTATAATGTACTTGTGTTAAAATGTACCTATAATTTCCAAAAAATTTATAAATTATTACACTTATAGCTAATAACAAATTGTTCACAATGTAAATTGATAATAAAAGTGAAAACATTTATAAATTATTCGCTATAACAAATACGTAAATGAAATTGCCATTAGTTTTTGAAAATTGTGAGATTTTCTAAAAACGTAAGATTTTTGACTGAAATGAAGTATTATGTGAAAAGTATGAATGTTAGAGGGTTCATTGTTATCTTACAAGTTAGATGATAGTTTGCCGAATTTATTGATGTCTATAATAATAATTATTTGTGCTTCTGAATAAGCAAATTGGTCATCGAAGTTTAAAAGTAAGCCTCCAAACGTACTTTCTACGGATATTCTTGCATTGTTAGAAAAAGTTCTTTATCTGATACGAATTTGTTATGCAGTAGTGTATTCTGTAAGGTTTTCCGAAGAAGAAATTTCGTTATTCGGTACACAAATAACTTTGTAATATAAAATTGTTAAATGATAAACTGGCACTCAACTTTTAAGATAATGATGAATCTTGTAACATTTTTGCTTTGCGCGTAATATTTCATTTTAGCCAAAAATAGAAAGGAAACAACAATATATTGATTTACCATGGACATACCATGGAAATTCATCGTATGGAAGTGCAAATGCAGTTATAATTTATAAAAAATGTATAAATTATGAAATATATCATTAATGACAAATTGAAATTGTTATTAACAAATTGCATAAAGCATAAAAATACTTCACATAAATGCATCACGGAAATTTATATTCTAAAAGCATAAATAAAATTTACAAATTATAATATTTATCGTCAGTAACAAATTATTAATTTTAATAACAAATTGTTCACAACGTAAATTCACAATAAAAGTGAAAACATTAAGGAATTACTGACTATTACTTGAACTTGGAACGAATTTGTGTCAAAATGTAACTATAATGTGCAAAAAGTTTATAAATTATTACACTGATTGTTTATAACAAATTAATATTGTTAATAACAAATTGCTCGCAACGTATATTTATAATAAAAGTGAAAAAATTAATAAATTATTGCCTACTACTTAAACAAACGACGTATTTGTGTTAGAATATATTCGGAACTTACAAGAAGTTAATAAATTAATAAATTTATTGTTAATAACAAATTAAAATTGTTGATGACAAATAGTTTGCAAAGTATATTAACGATAATAGTCAAGAAAGTTAATAAATTATTAGTTATTACAGCGGAAAAGTAACTTTTAAAGGAATCGGTAAAGTTCGGAAATTTTCGCCGATCTTCGCCCGGCCGCTGCTATATAAGGGGCTCGCGTGAAGGCTCGAGCCAGTTGTCGCTTCGACTTCGCAGGGTTCGCGTTAATATTTTTCTTTCAGGTACTAATTATTTTTTGTTTCAGCTTTTAATTATCTTTCTTCTTTCAGATTCTATTTCTTTTATTCTAGATTTCATTGTTTGTGCATTCGAATATTTTGTACAATATTCGAATGCTTCGTCGTTGGTTTATTTGTATATCATCGTTGGCTTGATCAATGGCTATTCAATGGCCATTGTCTACTCTCTTGAATAATTTAATAATAATTCCTTCTTTCAGGTACTAATTATTTTTTCTTTCAGGTTTTAATTATCTTTCTTCTTTCAGATATTATTTCTTTCATTCTAGTTTTCATTGTTTGAGCATTCGAGTATTTCGTACAATATTCGAATGCTTCGTCGTTGGTTTATTTCTATTGTATATCGTCGTTGGCTAGATCAATGGCTATTCAGTGGCCATTGTCCACTCTCTTACATAATTTAACAATAATTTCTTCTTGCAGATTTTATCTTTTTCATTCCATGTGTCTTTGTTTCAGCATTCGAGTATTTCGTATAATATTCGAATGCTCCGTCGTTGGTTTACTTATGTCTCATCGTTGACTAAATCTTTCCTTTCACAAATTTTACGACTTCCGTTCGATTTGTTTTCGTTAGAGCGTTCGAGTATTTCGTATAATACTCGAGCGCTTCCTCGTTGGTATGTTTATTTCTCACTGTAGGAATGTCTCTGGCTCGTAGTTATGTTGCTCAGGTCTCGTCGTTGGCTTGCTGGTTCCATTTGGTTATTAATCTCGATGGTTTCCTCGTACTAATCCCTTTCCTTTCAGCTACATATTAACAATAATATATTCT